CTCCTCCTCCTCCTCCTCCTCCTCTCCTCCTCCTCCTCCATCTCGAGGCCTTCTCCTCCTCCCTCCTCCTCCTCCTCCTCCTCCTCCTCCTCTCCTCCTCCTCCTCCTCCTCCTCCTCCTCCTCCCCTCCGCCCCTGGCCGGAGCTGCCTAGCACCACGTCGGCCGCGGCGAGGCCCGGCGCCGAGGCAGGGCCCGCGCTGGCGGACAGGTGCGCCGCGGCCAGGGCGGACAGCAGGAGTCGTCCCGCCATGGCGGCGGCGAGGGGGGGGGGGGGGGCGCGAGGGGATGGAGGGAGGGGGAGGGGGGGGGGGGACGCGAGGGGGGGCAAGGAAGAGCTCCTGAGGCCGCGATCCCTCGCACGACACCACTGGAACCGCGCCCCGCCACGGTAGCGGCAGGGGGGGGGGCGGGCGCGAGTGGGCGGGGGGCACGACTTAGATCTCCGACGATGTGACGTTTGCAGTCCCGGCGTGCTTCCTCGATTGCGGCCTCTGGGGCCCGTTGCTGGGCCCCTGGGGCTGTTATAAATGAAGCCGGGGCGAAGAACTACCCCGGGCGAAGCGGTCGGGATCTCTGGGGCCGCGGATTGCCACCATCATATCGGCAGATGTTAGGGCACCCAGAGGGGGAGGGACAGGGGAGGTGGGGGGAAGCGAGTGGTGGAGGAGGAGGGGAGGGGAGGGGACGGGAGGGGGCCACGAGGAGGGGGGGAGGGGAAGCGGAGGGGAAGGGGAGGGAGGAAGACGCGAGTGGTTGGGGGTGGGGGGAAGGAAAGGCGAGGAGGGGGCACGTAAAAGGATGAGGGAGAGGGGGAGGGGGGGGACGCGAGGGGCGGGGGGGAAGCTGGAGAAGGAAGGAAGGGGACTACTGAGGCCACGATCCCTCGTAAAAAACAATGGGATCGCGCTCCCGAGGCCACGATCTCTCGTTAAAAGCGATAGATCCGCGTCCCGAGCTTCCAAGCGTCCCGAGCTTCCAAGACGGCTCATGCAGGCAAACCGGGTTCCCAAAATGGCCCAACATGCACCGAACACGGGCCAAGATGACCCAAAGCCGGCCGAATATGGTCTCAAGGCGGCCCAAGATGCCTCCAAGAGGGCCCAACAGGGCCACAAGAAGACCTCCAACAGGGCCAGAAGACGCCAACATAAGTGACTCTTCTTGGGCTTTTGCCTGATTTTAGCACTCTCGCCTTTTCGGGCTTCCGTCAGCTCAAAACGAAGCCTGCGCGATGGCCCCAAGACGACCCAAGAGGCTCACACGAGGTTCCAAAGATGGCCCAATGGGACCTCACGAGGGCCCTGGAGGCACCCAGGACGGCCCCAGGACGGCCCAAGAGAGCCTCCCGTGGGACCCAAGACGGCGATAGAAGGCCCTTCGGCTGGCCAAGGCGACTACAAGACGGACGCGAGGGGACGGGGGAGGGGGAGGGGAGGGGAAGAGAGAGGGGATGGGGAGGGAGGGGTGGGGGAGGGAGAGGGGAGGGGCGGGGGAGGGAGAGGGGAGGGAGAGGGGGGGGGAGAGGAGGGGAGGGGAAGAGAGAGGGGAGGGGGAAGAAGGGGTGGGGGAGGGCAGGGGAAGAGAGGGGAGATGGGAGGCCGGCGCCGCCCCCGGCGAGCGCGGGCTGGATCCGAGAGTGTGGACGCTCAGGGGCGGTCGTCGGGGCGAGGGGGCTCCTCCATCCTTCTCCTGCCGCCTTCTCTGCCTCCTCTTCCTCCTTCTCCTCCTCTTCCTGAGTCCACTCTCCTCCTGCCAATCATCCCTCATTCTCCTCCTCCTCCTCCTCCTCCTCCTCCTCCTCCTCCTCCTCCTCCTCCTCCTCCACCGCCTCCTCCCCAGCTGGGCGGCAAGGCGGACGGGGCGAGGGACGCACGGGCGGAGGGCGTGCGGAGTGGGGCGCGGATGGGGATGCGGAGGGGGACGGGGAGAAGGGGCAACGAGAGGGCGGGCGAACGGGGGGAGGAGGCGGGTCAGGGGGAAGGGAGACCACCAAGGGGGGAGGGGGCGGGGGGGGGGGGCGCTCTGCGCGAGCACGAACGCGCCCTGCAGAGGCCACTACCACCGACATACCAAGATCCTGTCCAACGGCACCCCTTCAGCACCACGAGTCGCCGCCAACACCACCACTACTACTGCCGTCCCCGAAAGAACCACCGCCCTCCCAGGCGCCACGCTGACGTCAGCCATCCATGCAAACTTTGGTGCATGCCGTCCATCCCTCCTGTGTTGAAGTTCTCGCTTGGATAAAACGTTGCTGCGCGCCCAGAACTCGAGGGACACCCAAACTCCTCGGGAGCTCTCATCCCAGGATGGCCCTGGAGACCGCCAGGATGCCCCCAAGATGCCCCCAAAACAGCCCTCATAAGACCTCAAGATGCTCTTAAGAGACCGCGAAGAGGCCCCGAGGAAGCACTCCAGGTGACCCCAAGAAGCCTCCACGAACCTTCTTGTCCACGAAAGCCAGCTCGGTAGCGGGATGGGGCGAAAACCACTCGCTGTCGGTGCCATGACAGGTGCATGTGTCTGCACGCATGCGCATGAGCACGCACACACACGTGCACACATACGTTTCCAGAGTCACAGTTCACTTCACATGTGCGTGCAGGTGCACGTGCGACCGTGCAGTCATAATTACGCAGGTGCCGGTGCAAGGCATACCTGGCGCCCTGGTGACCCTCAGCCTGACCGGACGAGCGCGGTGCTCGGGCCAAGGGCGGCTTCTCCTCCACGCACCCCAGCCCTTGGTTCTCGCAGCACCACTTCTTCTTGTCGTCCGACCAGGCCTGGCTCCGATTGAACGAGGATGGGGCAACACTGCCTATGCTCAAGGGGCCCAGGGACACACAAGTAAATACACACAAATCCCAGGCTTCCCCCATATTTTCTGGGTTTTTGTCTTCCTCCCCAGTGCCCATATCTTCCCATATTTTCCTGGGAATCGACGATTAATTGTCTGTGTGTTTTTCCCCTCCTGATGTGCACTGAACACCTCCCTCGCTTCCCCTTTCTCGGTCTTGCGCAGCTGTTCGACAAGCCTGGGATCCCAGTAGAACCTTGCCGGCCTGACGACGGGATCCCGCCCATGGGGCATTGTGGCGCACGGGTTCACCACGCATAGAGGAGAACTGTTCAGCCAACCTGATCGGACAAGCACGGGAAGCGCCGCTCTAGTCACGTGGGCTCATTGCGCGAAGGAAAAGAAAAAGGACGGCGAGGGCGACGAGAGGGCGATGACGAGGACGACGTGGAGAACGTGAGGATAGCGAGGAGGAGCATGAGGACAACGAGGAGGAAGAGAAGCACAAGGACGAGGACGAAGAGAACGAGGGCGAGTACGAGGAGGAATGCGGAGGACGATGACGACGACGACGACGATGACGACGACGACGACGGCGACGACGACGACGACGACGACGACGACGGAGGACAGTAAGAGGCAAGTGGAGAAGGATGTTGAATCATGAGAGGGTCCTGGTGACCCTATCGGGCTACCCTGGGGGCTCCTGGCGCCGCGCGGGTTGTTTTGGGGCCTGTTGGGGGCTCCTTGGGAGCATCTTGGGTCCTTCTGTGGGCTTCTGGGGTCTTCTTGGGCTGTCTGGGCGCGTCGGGGGGTTCTTTGGGAGCTTTCTTGGGCCGCCTCGGCGCCATCCTGGGCCGTCGTGGGGCTTTCTTGGGCCGTTTGGGGGGCTCTAGGGGCGCCCCGCGGAAGTCTCTTGGGGCCCTCTTGGCCCGTCTTGGGCCGTGCTGGTGCTCTTGTGAGCTGCCTGTTTGCCGCCTAGACCGCTCTTGGAGGTCTCTCGGGGACTTCTTGGGGCGCTCTCGGGCGCTCCTGAGGCCCTCCAGGGCTTCTTTTGGGCCGCTGGAGAGCCCTCTAGGAGCGATTCGAATCCCTTCCGGGGCCGATTGTTCGAGGACGTCTTGAACGAAACGGCCATTTCTCAACAACCTGACCGGACAAGAACGGGAAGCGTCGCTGTTGTCCACTAGGTATGTGAAATATGCTCTTTTGTTGGTCTGCCGCGCAGACATGTCGTGGCGTGCGTGCGTTTGCGAATGCGTGCGCGGTGGTCTGCGGCACTGCTGAATTATGCCGTGCTGCTCTGCCGTGCTCCTGCGGTCTGCGTGAACGTATGTTGGCTCTGTGTGTGTGTGTGTGAGTGTGTGTGCGTGTATGTATATGTGTGTGCGTGTGCGTGTGCGTGGGTGTGTGCCAGTGTGCGTGTGCCTACGTGCGTGTGCCTGTTGGTGCGGCTGTGTGAATTCGGTGTGCTCTGCCGTGCTCCTGCGTGTTCTGCCGTGCTCCTGTGTGTTCTGTCATGATCCTGTGTATTCTGCCATGGTCCTGCTCTGCCGTGCTTCTATGTGTTCTGCCGTGCTCCTGTGTGTACTGTCGTGCTGCTTGCTGCTTGTTCTGCCGTGCTCCTATGTGTTTTGTGTAATCCGCCGCGCTCCTGTGTGTTCTGCCATGCTCCTGTGTGTTCTGCCGTGCTCCTATGTACTCTGTGTGTTATGCCGTGCTCCTCGTGATCCTGCGTGTTCTGCCGTGCTCCTATGTGTTCTGCCGTCAATTCTGCCGTGCACATGTGTGTTCTGCCGTGCTCCTGTGTGTACTGCCGTGCTGCTATGTGTTCTGCCGCGCTCCTGCTTGTTTTGCCGTGCTCCTATGTGTTTTGTGTGTTCTGTCGTGTTCCTGCGAATTAAAGTTAAAGTTAAAGACGGGGCCTTCAAGGCAAGCGGTGGCCAGAACGCAGACAGAGGAGGCCGCCTTGGGCCCCCTCCCAGACACGTGCAGCACAGACAGAAGGCGAATCCTCTGGTATATACTACACAAGACACTCGCAACTGCACTGATCCATTCACCCACTGCGTGTTCTGCGGGGCCTATACGAGTTACAGTCCTCCGCACAACCTGAGAAGGCGATCGATCTCTCTGGCGCGCTCAACAGACATCCCAGGCGGAAGGGCTTCAACCAGACGAGGCCCGACCGCGAACCTCGCCCTATGATGCAGCGGCCTCCGCGTGGGAGGAATCCTGAGGCCAAAGGAGCCGCCCTGGACCAAGTGCATGAGGTCAACGGCCTTTGCGTGGCGCGTCCAGGCGGGGCCCAGAAACCCTGGCGCGCTCCCCCGCCGAAGAATACCACGCAGGCCCGAGCAGCTCCCAATCTCGAAAACTTGCGGGGCATCTGCAAAGCGGACTCTCCGCGCCCGCAGCGCGCCGCCCGCAGCCTCGGGGACGGCGTCCTCGTCCAGCGAAGGCTCCAGCCAGGCTCTGGCGACTGCCGCGCGCGCCAGCCGCCAGCCAGGGGCGCGACGAGATGCCCCACTGCCAGGCTGCGAAACTGGCACGGCGCCCTGCGGCGGGCCCGCGGCCCCACTCACCCCCTCAGAGCCGTCGACCAGGGCGAGGGGGGCGCCCCTGGTCGGAAACTCAGCAGCAGCCGCCTCGCCACACGGAGAGTCCTCGTCGCCGTGATCCTCGAACACCTCCTCCGCAAAGAGCTGCGGCGGGGAGCGCGACGACTAGCACGTCGCGCCGCGCGTGCAGAGGCGGCCGCAGCCGTCCAGCGGCACCCAGCAGCCCGAGCTCGGGACGAAAGGGGGCGCGTCACGACGGAGCCCGCTCTCGGCCTCGAGGGGCGGGGGGCCCTGCAACAGCATGTGAGCCGCGGGCTGGGTGTCCGCCCTCCTCGCCTCGAGCCTACGCGCGTGCTTCCGGGCCCTGCGCAGTTCGGCATGGCCAGCTGAGACCAGAGACGCGCCGCAGGGCCCCTCGGAGTGGAGCGCCACGTTGCGCCGCAGGATGTCCAGCGCCTCAGGCCGCTCGCCCGCGAGGAGGGACGCGAGGGCAGGAAGAATACAGGCGACCCTCTCCGCAACCTCCGCGTCGCCGAAGAGGTGCAGCAGCGCAGACTCGAAGGCGAGAGCCTTGCGGTCAGCGGCCTCCGGCCTGTTCTTCAGCTTGAAAACGAGCCGGTCGGCGGACGCGCGCGCGCCGGCTACCCCGCGGAGGGGCTCTCCCGCAGCCGCCATGCCGAGCTCAGGGGGCCCCGCGTGGAGCCTTGAGCCAGCATGGCTTGAGCCAAAATGGCTACGGATGTGTTCCTGTGAATTCTGCCATGCCCTTGCGTGTTCTGCCGCGCTCCGGCTTGTTCTGCCATGCTCTGCCGTGCTCCTTCTGCTCCTGTGTTCTGCCGTGCTCCTGCGTGTTCTGCCGTGATCCTATGTGTTCTGCCGTGTTCCTGTGTGTTCTGTGTGTTATGCCGTGCACCTGCGTGTTCTGCCGTGCTCCTGTCTGTTCTGCCGTGCTCCTGTATGTTCAGTGTGTTCTGCCGTGCTCCCCGTTCTCCTGTGTGTTCTGCCGTGTTCCTGTACGTTCTGGTGCGCTCCTGTTTGTTCTGCCGTGCTCCTGTGTGTTCTTTTTATTATGCTGTGCACCTGTGTGTTCTGCCGTGTTCATGCATGTTCTGTCGTGCTCCCGCGCGTTCTGCCGTGCTTATGTGTGCTGGTCTGCGGTAGTCCTGCCCATTTTCACAAGATGTCCCCGGCGAAAAGCTCAGTTTTAACACGTGTGGCCTTACATCCACCTTTTCAACATTTCATGTGTTCGAAGCTGTCTCACGCGATCGCACCATTTCTATCGGTTGGTTAAATTCGCGACCTTCATTTTCTGGTGGATGTCTCGGGCGAAACGCTTGTTTCTGTTAAAGACGATGTTGCGGACAACTTGTGTTTGTGAGGATGTCTCCGGCGAAATCCACATTTTGAGGAATATCGAGGGCGCTCTTGGGGTCATATTGAGCCTCGTTTGGGGCTCGTTTGAGGCAGTCTCGATGCCATCAAACATGATGCCAGTGCGACGTCACACACATCTCTTTTTGATGCGGTCCCTAGCGACATCGCCATGTTTTAAAAGCCTGGCTTGAACCGTTTGGAAGCCTTTTGAATAGCCATTCCAAGACGATGTTATAACACCCAGTTTTAAAACGATGCTGTTGTAGGCCTTCATTTGTTTGAGGACTTCCCTGGCGGAAGCGTCATTTTCGGCAGTCTTCAGGGCGCTCTTTGAGCCATCTTGGTGTCCTTTTTGGGCTGGCTCTATTGAAGCACTTCAAGAACGATGTCGAAGTGATGTTGAACACATCTCAGTGTGTTGAGGATATCCCCAAATAGCTGCAACTTTTCGGCCGTGTTATTTTTTCTGGTCCGCCGTGCTGCCGATCATGTCTGAGGACGCCCCTAGTGAAAGCGTAGTTTTCAACAGAAGAGGTAGGAACAAACCCAGTCGACATCTCATGCTGGCTACTTCTCAAGCAAAACGCCAATGTTCTCATATTCGTGAATTGCGCAGCGATGGGGTTGTCGAGGAAGTCTCCAGTGAAACGCTGCTATTTTGTTAAACGCGATGTCGCGAATCTATCATTTGTTGTGAGGATGCCCTCAGGCGAAATCGCTGTTTGGGGGGGGGTCCGCTAACGAACGATCGCGTGCGATCCGCCACCACATACTAGTGCGATGTTTTAAATATGTTGCATATTCAGCCACAACGTCCAGCTCGCTTCTCGCACCTCGAAGACGTCAGCACAAAGCGAAACATGGTGAGCCCAACCCGTCACGAACAATCAAAAACGACAGCGCGGCAGCATGCTATAGAGACAGGCTGGCACGCAGTGCAAGATAGGAGACTCACCGAGGGGGTCTGCCCAGCATTTGTTTCAAGATCACTTCTTCTTTCCCTATGCCTTGGCCTGTGGCTTGAATGCCAGTTCCTCGACTTGTTTGGCGGCCTTGGATCGAGGAGCACGATCGCCCTCGATCTGAATGCCTGCCAGCTTCCGCCACTTCGACGCCGTGCGGAGGGCGCGAATGGATTCGATCAGCTCTCGGTGGCGGTCGGCCGCTAAGATCCATCGGACCTTGCCCTCATTCTCGCTGTTCCGGCATTCCACGACGAAGCAGCGCGACGCCTGGAACGAGTGCTTCTTGGGGGCCTTCTCGCTGGCAGCGATCACCGCCGTCGAGGCCATCAGGACCTGCTGCTGTTCCCCTTCGGTCATGTCCTCCTCCAGTGCGGCTCCGTGCTCTCGAAGTGCCAACTGTAGGTGGTGCAGAACCGCGCGAAACAGTGCGTCGGGGCGTTTGCCCTGTGGGTGCCCCTTGTGCACCTCGTCTGCCTCCGCTGCCGCTGCCTTGGCGGTCTTGGCCTCGGAATCGTGAGACTCCATCGCGCAGTCCATGCTCAGCTTCATCCTGGCCTTGCTCTCGAGTTCTAGGACCACGTTGTTGTCGCGGTAGGTGGCGCGGTGACTGTCCTCGTGTTGGAGAACGAGTTTGGCCATCTCTTTCAGCAACGCCCTCTGTGCTGGACATGGGCGGGCCTGAGTCCCCACCGCCGTTCGCCTCCGTGCCCTCGGACCTCCGTCGTTTGGCTGGCTTGGCTAGAGCTCCCCCGGACGCTTACTGGAACATCGGGAGGCAGGCCGAGCGGTGGGGACGGTGGTGGGGGTTTAGGTTGGTCACCCGAGTCAGTTTGAGCATTGACTGCGGCGGCAACGCGGCAATGACCCCGCACATGTTTCTTGAGGGAGTCAATTCTTGTGGACTGGGCCCCGCACCTGGCCCGCTGCAGCGAGGGGGTCTGCATCGGGGCCACTCCCGTCATATGCTCATGATGTTGACGTCCTAAGTGAATGTTGAGAGCGCGGCTGTTCTGGAACTCGAGAGTGCACATGTGGCATCTATGACGAACCTCATCAGAACCTCCCACAACAACATGATCTCCATCTCCTCCGGCACCTTCTCCACCCACGGACCCCCCTGGGACGGCCGCGCGATAGTGTTTACGTCGATCTTCAACCGTAGAATTGAAATTGCGAACCGCAGCTCGCCGCGCCATGGGGGGCCCGATGAACCAGCGGAAAAGGCCGGGGGACAGCGATTCCAAGAAGACAGGCTGACATCTGATTTCTGGCGAAAGGGCAACGCGCAGGCGCGCCAGGTCAGTAGGCAACTGTCGTTGGCGGTCGGTCGCTCCGCCCGCCCGCTCAAAGGATGAAGTGCCCAGCAAACGCGTTCTTACGGCTACCGGGGCATCGGAAGGGGCAGCCGTAGGCTCGTTGACGGGTGGGAGCATGCCACGCCGCCGCCAAGACGAGGGCAGCGCAAATCAGACTGGATAGTGTGCACTTTGAGGCGACGGCGCACCTCCTCATTCGTAGTCGCCGTCATGTGTACCCGGAGCTTCGCCGCGCTGCGGAGCTTCGTGGCCTGCCGCCGTTCCAGGTGGGTCAGGGCCCCATCGCTCAGGATACACGCCTCCAATCCGGACAGAGCGATCGCACGGGCCAATGTCAGCCACAGTGGGGCGCGAAATTGGATAGGAATGAAACCGTTGCGAAAGACTTTGGGGGCGTGGTGAGCGTGGGCAGCGCTGGCCTTCCGCGCGCGGACCTCCGCCGTCGCGCCGCTCCGGCCAGTGGCTGAAATCTGGAGTCCCCAGTGCTGTGCCGCATCCAGTGGGTGAAGAGGGCGTCCGTCACACATTGCACGAATCGATCGTGTAGCGGTGTCCTTGTTAAGACGGCGAAGACCACGTTCAGTGGCCACTGCGATGACTTCTGTCTTAGGCACATTCACGTGGTAGTCCTTGTCCCTCAGCACGTGCGCGACGAAGGCAGCGAAATCGGCGACCTCCGTCCAGCGCTCGAAGATAGCAAACGCACTCAAGTCATCAACGAAGCACGCGCGGGATTCATCTAGGCACGCGGTGACGTCCTCTAAATCCAGGGTAGCCGTAATAGATGGGATGGCGCGCTCATCCTAGGCAGCGCGTAGCGCCGTGAGCACAACATTGCGCGCCATGATGAAGAGGATCGGCCCATGGACCGACCCCTGGCGAACGCCCAACTGAACTGCCAACTTCGCCACCATTTTATTTGATTTCGGGCCATTAAACCAGTGGCAAGTGGCGTTGTATAGTTCAGGGCACAGGAAAGAGATAACCCAGCAGACTCGACCAGGCGGTGCACCTCAGCCCAGATGGCATCCCTGGGGGGAAGGTCGAAGGCCTTCTCCAGGTCAGCCAGGACGCCCACCATGATCTTACTCTTCTTAGCGTGTCTGGCCCCGATCTGGAAACGGCGAAAGATGTCCTCTATCATCGCAGTGGCATATCTAGCGGCGCGCTTCGCCGTAGTCCCGAGCTGGGCGGGCTCTATTCTGGAGGTAGCCAGTCCAGTGAAAGGCCGAGCCATGAGCTTGGATACGCCCTTGCCGAGATGGTCGAAGATGTTCAGTGTCCTGTTGTGATCACGGGCGTTGGTGCCGTCACCTTCGGGCTTGCGTAGCTGCGCAGTGGCCCCATCTTTGAACTGCGCGGGAATCGCGGCGCTGTTGGCAATGCCCGTGATCAACGCCTGCGCCGCAGTAGTAGCTTGAGGGCCCGTCATCTTCCAGAGCTCCGCCACCGCACCGCGAGGTCGGGGGTGCCCACCTGGCTGCGTGTCTATGGAGGGGGTGGGGGGTGGGGGGTGGGCGGCCTTATGGCTGGGCAAGAGGCCGATAATTTGTTACACTTCGTGGGCGGTGAAGTGGCGCAGATGCTGGAGTGGTTGGGCGTCCGATGTCGTCGGTGGTGGCGCTGCTGGTGGCGGGCGTGAGGTGAATGGGATCTCGTCGCGCTTGAAGATGTTCATCAGCGCCTGCTTGCGTACCTGAGTCTCTATAGTCGCGCCCATGCAAGGTATGCCGTCGGGTCCCGCCACTGTAACAGACGCTGGTGACGGTTTGGGGGCGATCCGACTGATTGTCTTGTAGCACTTCCTGGGTCTTTGAGGCGGGCCGCCGCGGCGGCCTCGTCGGCCAGATCGGTTGCGGCCTGACGTCGTTCAGCGCGGGTGGCACGTTTGGCAGCAAAGGACAAAAGTCGGGCTCTTGTTTCCGCCGTGAGAAGCGCGCCCGTAAAAACACGTTGGTCGGCGAGCCAGGTGGCCCATCTGATGGCCTCCTGCTTCATTTTGATCATGCGGACCGTGTCAGCGGAGAAGGCAGAGAACTGGCGCTCCGTCTTGGGCGCGAGAAAGTCGCCAGCGGCAGAGGCCGCCGCCAGCTCCAGGAAGTCGTGGTAATCGGTCGGAGAGGTCTGCGCGAATTCCCGGTCCAGGGAGGTGATGGCATGGTGCGCGCGGTCCTGGAATCGCAGGGCGTCGCTGATGCCGGTGGTCACTGGCGCCTCTGGCTCAGCCGTGGACCAGCGCTGCCACGCCTGTAGGGGGCTCAGTATTTGTTGTCGGTGCCACGTCGGGGTCGGAGTCTTGGGGGGTCTCTCGGCGAAGTGTCTGCCCGCCCTAACCGAGGCCTCGACGATCATATGGTCCCGAGAAGGGCCCGGGGCCAGCGGGGTCTCTCGAATGGCACTCGCGAAATCCTGGGGGCCCATGCTGCGCGGGGTGGCGATGTAGTCGATCCGTGTCTCTCCCTGGCCATCGGGGTTCCGCCATGCACTGCCGCGCCTTGCTCCTAGTCCGAAAGTGTTGAGGGCACGCGTGCCATATTGGGAGAGGATGTCACGCAGGCGACGTCCACTGTCGGCCCGCTGTGGTCGGCACTTGCTCTGGGAGCTGGCGAGCCCCATTTCGGGCAATGACGGCGCCGTGCTGCCGTTGCCGCCCGAAGCCAATATCACTGCGCAACGAGAGGGAATGCAGCCCATGGCACGATTCACACTGTCGAAGAAGTCGTTCTTGTCGCGACGGCATGCTGCGCGGGCAGCCGCTGCGATGGGCCGCGCTCGGGGCTTGTCGGCGGGTGCGTGGCCGCGGGGGACGTGGAAGTTGATGCGTGGTTTGCGTTTTTCACGCGTGCCCGCAAGTCGACCCAACTGTCATCTGCGAGTGACTATGATCTCGTTCCGCGAAGCAATCCCCTGGGCAACTGCAATGGCTGCGCCGTCCTCCAGGGGGCGAGCCGAGGGTGGAGTAGGCGTGATAAGGCAGTCGGGGCTCTCCCACTGGTGCTTGGCGGAGAGCGCGGTGCCCTGCAGGGCGAGGACGTCGACGCGAGCGGCCGCCGCGTGGCGGGGGACTTCGCCCAGGCGTCCCGGCATGCGCAAAGTCCCGGCGTTGTGAAACCACATCTTGACATGTCCTGCCGCGGGATACTGCGGGTCGGCGAGGAAAGAGGGGGCGGGGGCGCCGCGCCGCACTGCGCCGCCAGTCTGCGTAGCTTTGTCACTGCGTCCTGGCCTTCGCGCAGGGCCCCCCTGAATCGCGCTCGCCCTCTGGCGAGCATGGCTCGGCGGGCGCGGTGATGGCTCCTTCTGCTGTGCGCTGGTTCGCTCCAATCCCCGGCGACTGTCGATGGCGCGGAGCTCCGCGGCGATCGTGCCGTCGCCGAACGCTCGGCCCTCCAGCGCGGGCAACTTCGGCTAGCAATGGCGCGAAGAAGAAGGAGGGAGAAGACGCGCGCCGCCATCAACTGCGCGCGTGCCGCGCGGGGGCCTGCGACCCCGCCGACGCGCGAGAAACGCCGATAATCGCTCGAGCCAGGGCCTTCGAAGACGCCCCCCGTCATCCGCCAGCGCGGGCGCGCGGCGCAGTCCGTCGCCAAAATAAACATTTGCACCGCCGACGAGCGGTCCGCGCCAGGGGCGCTCTTTCGAAGACGCAACCCCAACACTTAGGTCTCGCGAGCATTCGCAGAGTCAACCGCAAGGTCGGCCCGCGCGCGCACGCGTCCGCGGACGCGACGCATGAATCTTACCACCCTCTGGTGGGAAACCCGCGCGTCAGCGCGCTGACCCTCTGGCCACGGGCTGGCGGCGAGCAATGTTTTTCAAGCGGCGCGGCGCATCGTGCGCAGGAGAAGTATGGCACGGCATAGCAGGCGCCGCCGTTACCAGCAATGCGAAGTCGGCAACGCCCCAGGCCACGCAAAAGCAGGGCTGCGGGCCGAGCCAAACTCAAAGTCACCAACGCAGCGGGCCAAGAAGGAATGAGGGCGGACGAGGAGGCACAAGCGTTGGAGGAGGAAAAAACGCAACAACTAAACCAGGCGCCTGCGGCAGGTTTTATCGAATAAATGAGCGCTGGTGCATGCAACCTGGTGGACTCACCTGAAGTATACCCAGCATCCGAGTCGACTACTTCACTTCCTTGAGCTCGCGGCGTGGTGCGAGGAGCATGGGTCGTCGTCGATCATGAATCCCGCAAACTCCTGCCACTTCGACGCCCCGCGGGGTTGTGGGATGGATTCGATCAGCACACGGTGGCGACCAGTCGCTCCGATCCAGCAGCGCGACGCCTGGAACGGGTTCTTCTGAAAAAGGGCCTTCTCGCTGGCTGCGGACGCCGCCTGGGGTGCCGCAGGGGCCTGCACCAAGATGCTCTCGGCCACGTCCTCCTCCACGGCGGCGACGGCGGACAGACGGGTTTTCTCCTCCACGCAAGCCGCGGAGAAATACTGCATACGTATGCCCACTAGTTGTCCCAGCTGCCATCATTGTGTAACTGTGATACCTTCCCGTAAAACAATCCGTGTGGACTCTAGCCGCGGGGAAGGCGTGATGATGTAGCCGGGGCGATCCCAGGTCCGAGCTTCAGGCGAATAAACTGTGTCGCCGTCTGAAGTAACCACATAGCTGGAGTGTGTCGCAACGTCCTGGCCTTCCTGAAAGTCGACCTCAGGCCACACCCGCCCTCTGGCGAGCATAGCGCGGTAGGCGCGGTGATAGCTCCATGTGCTGTGCACTGGCTCGCCCCCGTCATCATAGTCATCCTGCGACACGGAGCTCCACGGTGGTCGTGCCGCCACCGAACGCTCGGCCCTCCAGCGTAATGAATTTCGGCGAGCGGTGGCGCGCATATTAGAAACGAAACACAACAAGTCCCGCCATCGACTGATGATCATGCTGTGCGGGGGCTTGCGGTTCCGCAGACACTAGAACAAATGCCAGAATCGCTCGAGCCAGGGCCTTGCCACGGGCGCTTCCCGTCATCCGCCACCGTCCCCCCTGGCACGTTGGGTCGCGGCAGGATGCCAAGTGATATCTGGTAGGAGCTTCTGTCATCTTCTACAACCCACCCCCCTCTCCCGATACCTTCCTGCATGCACCACACCGTTACGCAGCGGCTTGGAACGTGCCCGTCCTGTGGAGGACGCCACGCACAAGAAACGGGACAAGGCGTGGGACAGTATCCGAAGACAGGCATCACTCCTCTGAAGGCGCCTCGATCACAGCTTCACTCGAAGGAGGAAGCCTCCCCCTCCAGAGGGTTTCTGGGCCGGCCTGCCGCCTCCCCTGAACTCTCCAAGGCTCTCCGAGGCTTCGGCGACGGCCAAGAGGGGCCATCCAGGCCGCCGAGATGGCCCAACGCTGTCCCAAGGGGCGCACAAGGGCTCCCGAGAAACGCCCCAAAAAAGTTTTAGCCTCCTGGGGGCCTCTTGTGAGCCTCTTGGGGGCCTCTTGGGGCCGTCTTGGGACCATCTTGGGCTTCCTCGGGCGGTCTGGAGGCAATCTGGGGCCGGCTGGGCGCACCCCAGGGCCGTCTTGTGGCCCTCCGGGGCCGCCTGAAGCCACCTGGGACGGTCCCAGGGGCCCCGGTCCACCCATAGAAAGTTTGGGCAGCTGCTGTTGGCCCCAGGAACGTCTATGCCTTCTTCTTCTTATTATTATTATCATCATTATTATTATTATTATTATTATTATTATTATTATTATTACTCTCATCATCATCATTATTATTATGATGATGATGATTATTAGTATTATTATTTTTATCATCATTAACATTATTCCCCCCATCCAAAGTGGGGTTCTTGTTTTCTCTGCACACCCCGCGCAGGAGCCCTCACCCCACCCCCTCTTCTCCTCTGCCTTCGCACACTCACTCACTCACTCATCATCATCACCACTCACTCACACGCACACTCACTCACACTCTCTCATCATCAACATCAGCATCATCACTCGCGCTCTCTCACACGCTCAGTCACTCACATACTCATCATCATCATCATCATCATCATCACTCGCACTCTGTCACACGCTCACTCATTCACATACTCACCTGGAGGAAGTCTCAGGCGGGAGCTTCGTCTGTGAGTGAATTGTGAGGAAGTCTCAGGCGGGAGCCCCGTCCCTATGGAGCCCGCACTTCATGTTGGTAATCCGAGCGGGTCATCCGAAACGTGTAACTGTCGTCACTTTTGGGCTCTTGAGGCCTGAGTATGGAGGAAGTCTCGAGCGGGAACCTCGTCTGTGAGTGAATTGCGAGGAAGTCTCAGGCGGGAACCCCCTCCCTATGGGGCCCGCGCTTCTCCGAGCGGGTCATGTGGTCGTCACCTCGAGCCTCGTCCATTCTCCCGCGCTTCATGTTGGTAATCCGAGCGGGTCATCCGAAACGTGTGTCGTCACTTTTGGGCTCTTGAGGCCTGAATATGGAGAAGCTCGAGCGGGAGCCTCGTCTGTGAGTGAATTGCGAGGAAGTCTCAGGCGGGAGCCCCCTCCCTATGGGGCCCGCACTTCATGTTAATCCGAGCGGGTCATCCGAAACGTGTAACTGTCGTCACTTTTGGGCTCTTGAGACCTGAATATGGAGGAAGTCTCGAGCGGGAGCTCGTCTGTGAGTGAATTGCGAGGAAGTCTCAGGCGGGAGCCCCCTCCCTATGGGGCCCGCGCTTCATGTTGGTAATCCGAGCGGGTCATCCGAAACGTGTAACTGTCGTCACTTTTGGGCTCTTGAGGCTGAATATGGAAGAAAGCTCGAGCGGGAGCCTCGTCTGTGAGTGAATTGCGAAGAAGTCTCAGGCGGGAGCCCCCTCCCTATGGGGCCCGCACTTCATGTTCGAATCCGAGCGGGTCATCCGAAACGTGTAACTGTCGTCACTTTTGGGCTCTTGAGGCCTGAATATGGAGGAAGTCTCGAGCGGGAGCCTCGTCTGTCAGTGAATTGCGAGGAAGTCTCAGGCGGGAGCCCCCTCCCTATGGGGCCCGCGCTTCATGTTGGTAATCCGAGCGGGTCATCCGCAACGTGCAACTGTCGTCACCTTTGGGCTCTTGAGACCTGAATATGGAGGAAGTCTCGAGCGGGAGCCTCGTCTGTGAGTGAATTGCGAGGAAGTCTCAGGCGGGAGCCCCCTCCCTATGGGGCCCGCTTCCCGAGGCGCTGGCCGAGGCTGCGACGGCGCTGAGGAAAATGGATTTGCTTGCTCCGACGAGGGGGAAGGGGAGGTGCACATGGAGAAAAGGCAGGCGGATGAGGAGGGAAGGGGCATGGGGGAGGCCGACGACGAGGAGGAGGTGGCGCGAGAGGAGGAGGAGGAGGAGGAGGAGGAGGAGGAGGAGGAGGAGAAAGAAGAGGAGGAAGAGAAATAAAAGGGGGAAGAGAGGGCAGTGCAGGGGGCGAGAGGAGAGGGTGTCCGCCAGGGGGAGGAGGAAAGGGCAAAGGGTAAGCTAAACATATTCTCATGTGGGGTCCTACCGTCGGAGTATGTTTTATATTGCTAGTTATGTATACGTATAGATGTAAATATAGACATGTGCAAACATATACACATATACATACACATATATACATCTACATATAATACACGTATACATGTGTACATAGGTGTCCGTATCACGTGTGGGCAGCGACGACCCAGTGATCTCTAGACGGCATGGCGTGCGAAATGTCCTCAGCCTATATTCACACACATGCACGCCCATCTGCGCTTGGAAGGCCCAAGCGCTGACACATTTCGACAAACCCGTGCAGGAGAAAACCCCTGTACGACTTTGCCCACAAGTTCATCCCCGAGAAGTCCTGCTTCTACAGCGCAAGAACAACACGAACGTGAGCTCAAACATCCCACAGCAAATGATTGACTCAACAGGTGCACTGTGCTGGGGACCAAGTTAGCTTCACAGCACCGCGCCAGCCAGACGCGCTGATCGACCCTGCACCCACCACTGGACTGAAATGCGCTATAACCCTGCGCGCAGTCGGCACTGGCGAGCAACCAGAGCAGCCACGCAATCTCACGATACACTTCGATCCCCCTTTTCTCATCTCCCGCCCCCCATCCGCTCCCGCCCCCTCCCTTCCGGTCCCCTCCCCTCTTCGCCTCATCTTTCCCTCTACTCCTCCCGTCCCTCGGCCTTATCTTCCCTCTTGGCCTCGTGGGTCCAGTGAAATATTTGGTAGGCTCCTACTGGCGGGAGAGCTGGTGTGGTGCGCTTATTCATTAGAAAGGGGTGCGGTCCTGCTGCCAGGTGCTGAAAGCGGCCACGCAGTTGAACTCGAATTCCGTGGTTGTCGCCGCGCAGCCTACCTGCGGAGATGAGAAGGCAACGGTCTCGGCAAACGTTAGGGCTTCGAGGTGCTCTTGCCAACTTGGGTCTTCATTATGGAAGCGACAGGACAGGAAGAAGCCGCGCCTAGACGGCGCACCGGCACACACACACACACACTGACAAGAAAACGAAGGCCAGAACATGTGCAGAAAAGTATGCCGAATGCACGTGCGCCGTGCGCGAGCGCGCGGTCTTCATTATGGCGGCAGCGCAACAAGGCGAGGATGATGATCTAGCAGGTCAGTCGCAGGCAGGCAAGCACGGAGACACATAGATAGACGAACGAGGCAATACGGGACAAGTTGAGACAGACTTAGTAGACTAGGGCCCAGACCGTGACTGGGACGGGGAGCGAGAACTAGCCAGTCTCCCTCAACCTGCACCCCTCAAGACTTCTAGCCCTGGATGGAAATAGCGTTCGACGATGCACCGAACAGAGGTGCGACGACGTGTCCAATCGACGAAGCATGCAACTCAGGGAGCAGCGGTGAGGCAGGCTACGGCCGGATCGGCGGCGCGCGCGGGCCACCAGCACGCGTGGCGTTGGGCGCCAGCACGCGGCACGCATGCCCCCGCTCTTGACTGAGAAAGGGGGGGGATCCAGCAACGGGCGCCGAGCAACGACGCAGCGAACGGACGAGCGGGCTGCGTGGGCAGAAGACCGGGGCCTGCTGCGCGTGAAGGTCGCTGGCTGCGGCGGGCGGATGCTGAAATCGGGGCGTCGGGGCGGAGGGCGCGTGCGGGACGGCGGCGGAGAAGGAGCGGGGCCGGCGGCGGGGGAGGAGGAACGGTGGTGGCTGCCACGGTGCCACGCCCGTGCGGTGTGGTCTGCGCTCGGGACACACGGCGCAAGATCGTACAACAGCGACTGGTGCAGACTGGGCGCAAGGGATCACTTAGGGGGAGAGGAGGTGGTGCGGGGCGCCAGGACGCAAGAGGCTGGTGGTGGGTGGGGCGCGGTGCCGCGCGCGCCGTGCTAGAATTTGTCACCGTGCTTGCAGCGGTTGGTGTGCGTGCGTGAGTGCGTGCGTGCGTGCGTGAGTGCGTGTGTGTGTGTGTGTGTGTGTGTGTATGTCGGGCATTGCGTCGGCCTGCTTCATTCCTTGCGGGACAATAACAAGGGCCTCTCGCTTGCGCATGAGTCCCCACATGCGCTCATGCTTCGAACCGCAACCTGCTCTGGGAGACGACGGAGGGAAGCACGTGAGCTCATTTTTGCTGGCCGAGTCTGCGCGTTTTTTGAGGCCTTCTGCGCGGGAAGCGGCGCAGAGACAGAAGTCGGGATCGAACGTTTCGTGGCTCCCCCTGGCGCCTCCCCTCCCAGCCTCCCCCCTCCCCCTGGTGCTCGCTCGAGCGCGGTGTCGGATTCGCACAGCAGCGCAGCTGGGTAAACGGAGCGGGGCGGAGACGGCGCGGGTGCGCGCCTGGCTCAGAGCTGCGGTGCCGCGCGCGCTGTGCGACACGAAAGCGATCAGGGCGGTGAGGGCGCTGGAGCTCCCACGGTGGACGCTAATGCTGGGGCGCGGGGAAAGCTAGGGCCTGGACCAGGTGCCGCGAGCGCTGTTCGGACAGGAAGGGATCAGGCCGGCCTCCATGGTGCAGTGCTGCTTGCCGACACAACATCACATCTGGGCGGACACGGAACGATGGCTGTGCCATGCGCGCCGTGGGAACAAGAACGAATCGGAGCGCACAAGACTCGGAGGGGGCCACGGGTAAGACATGTCCAGGGGCGTAGGCAAATTGGGCTGGGGCCTGGCGCCGTGTGAAGCTGCCGCGCGCGCGCGGTGCGAACGTGTCCAATGATGGGGATTGAACAGGCGCCGGGGCTCCCCATAACGCCTCGCGGCGGTGGTGTCGCGCGTGCCGTGCAAACATGAAAAACCAGGGCGGCAAGGGCGCGGGGGCTCCCAGGCGCGGCGCCTACGGCGGCGCCGTGGGGATGGGGCGCAGCGCCGTCGCTTGTGTCTGCGGAAATTCAGGGATCGGGGGCAGAGAGGGCTCGGGGTTTTGATAGGTGAAAGCCGTGCTCGGGCGCAGAGAGGAGTTGGCTGGGTTGCGGTTCTGCGCGGCGTTGCCACGCGTGCTGAGCGAAGATCAGTGCGGAACGGGGCGCGCCGCGGGGGTCCCCACGGAGCCGCGCGGCGGTGTCGTGTGCGCCGTTTGGAAATGCAGGGGTCGGGGGCGGACAAAGCGCGGGGGCGTCCATGGGGGGCGCAGGAGCTCTCATTTGGGACAAAATGCGCTTGTGCGGCACGAAGCATGGATCTGGGGCGTGGTGGTGCGTGGGCGCGAGGGGAGGATTTGGGCTGGGGCGCGGTGGCGGTGCAGCGCGTGCCGCGCGAAAGTAAAACAGATTAGGGCGAAGAAGTGGCGCGGGGATTCCCAGCTGAGAAAGGAAAGTGATGGGTCTAGGGTCTCGGGGCAATGTCGATCTGGGGCGCGGAGGCAAGCGGAGCTGGGTCGGGGGTCTGCTGACCTGAGTCAATGCAAAACCCGAGTCAGTCGGGCTTTGCAGGATCCTACAAAATCCTACAGGATCCTCGCCTGGATCAATGCACCCCTGACTCTGCAAGATCCTGCAAGGTCCGGCGCTCTGGCTGACCCCATTTGCATTGACCCCCGCCCCAAGACTCCCGACCAGGGAGCAATACCGTGCACCCAGTTTCGCGCGTGCCGTGCAGTGGCCGGAGCTCTAGACAGAGGGTGCAATACAATCACCCTGCTGGTCTTGGGGAGGGCATAGCTGGAACGAGCATGGCCTGCAGGGCCGAGGCGTAACCGCTCGGCCGAAGTCGCACTTTCTGCCCTCCCTGAAATTGGGTGCTCTGCTTGACGCATGGCAGGCTCCGAGAGCTCTGGGCCCCCAAAATGGGCATCTCTTGGGTGGGCAGCTTGAACCGCCGCTGGCTTCCGCCGGCGGAGCCGCCCCCGTGTTGCGTCCGCCGCCTTCCGTCGACCATCCGCCGCCTTCCACCGAGGAGGAGATGCCAACTCCTTCATTTCCTCGAAGGCGAGGCCCGTTCTGGAACGCGCCACATCAGATCAGACGGTATCCAAGCGGCTTGCCTGGCGTCTCGCGCGTGCGCAGTGCGTCTGTGGGCGCGGCGGTCTCGCCTGCTTGTGCTCGCAGCACCACTCCTTCTGCTTCGAGTCCCAATCCTTGACACCACAGCGGCAGGATCTAAGAAGCGAGAAGGCAACACACATGTGGCCGACAAACAGAACCAAACAATGATGCGATTTTGACCAAACGATACGTCTCAACACAATGTCGGACCTCGACTCCTTTCTCCAGGGGGGCTGAGCACACCATCATCTATAGACCCGAGAACGCAAAGGACGTAAGAAGAGCAGTGAAGAGGACGAGAGAGAGAGATAGATATGGAAACTCACACATATATATATACATACATACATAGAGAGAGAGGGACAGCGAGAGGTGCACGTGTGTATGTATATGTGTATATAACTATGTGCATGCGCACAAACTTAGTTTCAGTGTATATATATATATACATACAGATGTGTATATCTAGATGTGCTCTCCCGTAAAACCAAATCATGATATATAGAGAGAACGAGCAAGGCAGAAAGAGAGAGAGAGAGAGAGAGAGAGAGACAGGGAGGCAGAGAGGAGAGCGAACGAGAGAGAGAGAGAGAGTGCGAGAGAGGGACGGAGAGACTGAGAGAGGGAACGGGAGAGAGAGAGAGAGAGAGCGAGTGCATTATTTCCTCCTCTTTCCACCTCCTCAAACTTATTCATCCTTCCTCGTCCTTCCTGGTATTCCCTGCAGTTGGAAACCATGCGGATTGTGTTTGTTCTCTCTCTCTCTCTCTCCCTCCCTTTCTGAATGAGACTTTCGGGATCCGTAAGGACAGGAACGTCTCCTTCGCCCCCGCTCTCTTGTTTGTGTTCTCTCTCTCTCTCTCTCTCTTTGTGTTGCTCCCTCCCTCCCTCCCTCCCTCCCTATTTCTCTCTCTCTCTCTCCCTCTCTCCCTCCGAAGAACTAACTCAGATACTGCACCACGGAGGATCATTCTTACTTAGTCTGGCGAAGGAGCCAACCACATGCAATTGTGAATACTGCAATTGTGGGTATCGTTTTCCGTGGAGCCCCCTTCTGAGGCCACGAAACGCTGTACTGGGCAGGGGAGCAGCATGCGAGTTCCGCCAGTGGGACCTACGGTGAAGCTCCCTCTGGAGAGCAACGAAACGCTGTATTGGGCGGGGGAACCGCATGCGAATTCCGCCCTCGATTGAGCTCCCTATGGTGCCCATAAACGCTGTGCTGGCCGGGGGGGGCGCATACGAGTTCCGCCACTGGGACCTTCGGCGGAGCTCCCTATGGGGCTACGAAGCGCTGTACTGGGTGGGGAAACCCCATGCGAGTTCCGCCACTGGGACGTTCGGTGGAGCTCCTTCTGGGGCCACGAAACGCTGTACTGGGTGCGGAAGGCGCATGCGCACTGCGCCACTGGGACCGTCAGTGGAGTTCCCTCTGGGACCACGAAACGCTGTACTGGGTAATAGGGACTCATGCAAACTGCGCCACTGTGACCTTCGGTGGAACTCCCTCTGGGACAACGAAACGCTGTACTGGGAGAACGAGACGTATGCGAACTGCGCAACTGGGACCTCAGGTGGAGCTCCCTCTGGGACAGCGAAACGTTGTACTCGGTGGGGGGGCCGCATGCGGACTGCGCCTCTGGGACCTTCGGGCTCCCTCTGGGGCCACGGAATGCTGTACTGGGAGCGAGAATCGCATGCGGACTGCGCCACTGGGACCTTCGGTGACGCTCCCTCTGGGGCCACGAACCGTTGTACTGGGTGGGGGGACCGCATGCGGGCTACGCCTCTGGGACCTTCGGACCTTTGGTGGAACTCCCTCTGGTGCCACAATGCGCTGTTCTGGGTGGAGGAACCGCATGCGGGCTGCGCCTCTGGGACCTTCGGTGGAGCTCCCTGGGTCCACGAAACGTTGTGCTGGGTGGGGGAACCGCATGCGGACTACGCCACTGGGTCCTTCAATGGTGCTCCCTCTGGTGCCACAATGCGCTGTACTGGGCGGGGGAACTGCATGCGGACTGCGCCACTGGGACCTTAGGTGGAGCTCCCTCTGGGGCCACGGAACGCTGTGCTGCTTGGGCGAGCCGTATGCGGACTGCGCCACTGGAACCTTCGGTGGAGCTCCCTATGAAGCCACGAAGCGCTGTACTGGGTGAGGGAACCGCATGCGAATTGCGCCACTGGGACCGTCGTTGGAGCCCCCTCTGGGGCCACGAAACGCTGTACTGGGCGGCGGGGACGCATGCGAACTGCAGAGGGGGGGAGGAGGGAGGTGGGGTAGGAGGAGGAGGAGGAGGAGGAGGAGGAGGAGGAGGAGGAGAGGAGGAGGAGGAGGAGGAGGAGGAGGAGGAGGAGGAGAGGAGAGCAACGCGGGGCGCTGTCTCCTCAAGCCGAGGACCCAACACCACAGGATGGTTGGGAAAAACAACCAGAGGATTGAGCCATAATCCCAATACATCAACATACGATATTGCTTTGCGTCTCGCATCTAGACTCTAGAGGTTTGGGTGTTCAAGGCCTTCCTCCCTCCTTTTCCCGCCTCTTCTCTCAGCCTCCCTTCCTCCTGCCTCCTCTTCCCCGACCCCTCCTCAGCCATGCCTCCTTCCACTCCCTGTCGCCTTTTTTTCCTTACATCTAGGCACACAACAAAGAAAGGGAGAAAGAGAGCGACAGAGCGAGAGAGAGAGAGAGAGAAAGAAACCATGAGAGAGAGGGAGAGAGCATGAGAACAACGCAAAGAAAGGGATCTATACCTATACGACCACCCTTCGGGTGATAAGGAGGTTGTGGGACAGGAGAGGGGGGGAACCAACATCTGACTCAATCGATCTCACTATCGATCTCTCTCAACGGGACACCACGGGACACCACAGGACACTTTTCGACCTCACTATCGATCTCACCATCGATCTCTCTCGACGGGACACCACGGGACACCACGGGACACCTCTCGTTCTCACTATCGGTCTCACTATCGATCTCACTATCGATCTCACTCAACGGGACATCGTAGGACACCACGGGACACCTCGGGACACCACATAGATATCACTATCGATCTCACTATCGATCTCACTGTCGATCTTAGTCAAGGGGACGCCACGGGACACCACGGGACACAACGAGCCACCTGTCGATCTCAGTATCGATTTCACTTGTTGGGACGCCACGGGACACCACGGGACACCTTGGGGCACCACATCGATCTCAGTATCGATCTCAGTATCGATCTCACTATCGATCTCACGATCGATCTCTCTCAACGGGACACCACGGGACACCACGGGACACCGCGGGACACCACGGGACACCGCGGGACACCGCGAGCCACCGCCAGACGGGCGGGAGGGGGAGAATCATTTGTCTTGATTTCGCCCTAGCAGCGGCGGGCACCATGGGACACCGCGGGACACCGCGGGACACCGCGGGACACCGCGGGCCACCGCCGGACGGATGGACGGACGGACGGGGGGGCAACATTTGTCTTGACTTCGCCCTGGGTTCATTCCTCTCGCGCGCCCACGCAGCTTCGCCTCGCCCGCGCGCACGACACACACGAAACGACACGATTTCCTGGTTGGGCGTCTCCTTGCCACTGCGATCTCACACCCTAACCTCCGATACATATGTATATACACATATCTCTAGAGAGAGAAGGGGCTATATATATAGAGAGAGAGAGAGAGAAAAAGAGAGAGACGGAGAGAGAAAGAGAGATGGAGAAAGAGAGAGAGAGAGAGAGAGAGAACGTGCTTTTTTTCCTCCTTCCTGCGTCTCGCCAAGATCACTCTTTCTCCTCGTTCCTCATCTTCCTTTCCGGCTCCTCCTTTCGATTGGGGGAAGGGGTGACCGGGGAGAGGAGGGGGGGGAAGTGAGGAGAGACTGATGGAGTACGGGGGGAGGGAGGATGGATCGAGAGGGAGAGAGGAGACGGAGGAGTCTCCGCGTATGGTCCTTCCAGAACGGATATTTCATCCTACGAGATGTTCTGTCGGGCGCATGCTGTATTTCATACGTGGCACCCCACAGTTGCGGATAAGAGTGAAGGGGCGGCGGGGACGTCGGCAGTCTGCGAGACTCTGAAGAAGCCCGCCGAAGGCGCTTAATTTGTACAAATTATGGAACGAGCTCGCCGCAGGCGCCGATTGTTTCGTTAAAGCAATGTGGGTGGATCGCGGGTCTGGTCGCGGGTGGGTCGCGGGTGGGTCGCGGGCGGATCGCGGGGTGGGTCGCGGATGTGTCGCGGGTGGGTCGTGGGGTCCCACTACAGCTCCTTCTACATATGGTCCAACATATATGATTGCAACTCCTACTAGAATACCCTTGCACAACAAACTATCAAAATCCCATTGCAGCTCGTACTAGAGGCAAAAACAGTTTTCGTTTCAACTCTCACTACAACCTCCGTGCTTCTGTTCCCAGAGAAGATCATGCTCCATCCGCGGCTACAGCCAGTAGCACAGCGCCCCCACAGCTCTCACTACACTTCCTACACCAGCTCCTGCGACAGCTTCTACTATGATTTCTGCGACTGGTGGTGGTGCAGTGTCCAGTACAGTTCATACTGGTGCTACTTCTGTCGCCCATGTTCCAGCCAGTATTACATCTCCCGCGGAACTCACTACAGCTTATGGCACAACCTGGTTCCAGTTTCTATAGCAGCTCCTTCTACAACGCTACAGTGCGGGCGCGGTCGCAAGAAACCCTCGCAAGAAACCCAACCCTGAAAATCCGCGCGCGAGGTGCAACCGAAGGGAAACCTGGAGCACCCCGAACGCAGCAGCTCCTTCAACGGCCGCGGGAAGTCACCGCGCATCGCGCGGAGCGAAGAAACCCAGGGGACCCTGATGAAAAGTAGATGATTTCTTGAGGCGCCCCCACTGTACTACATAATAAATACTGTCGTCGTCATCCTCATCCTCTTCATGCTCCTATCCCTTCTTTCCTCATCGTCGGCTGTTCAGCTTTGCCAATCGACTGATCAAGGTCTGCTGTGCAGGACTAGACGCAGAGGGATCCATGATTAGGTTGCCCGAAAGGCGGAGGCGGAAGAGGAGGATAATGATCAGGAGAGCAGGAGCAAGCAGGACCATGAGCAGGAACAAGCAGACAGGGAGGAGGGAGGAGAGGGAGGAGCGGCGTAAGCGTCACAGAGCTCCAAAGTGGAACCGTCTGGCAAGCGCACCGTGGGCGGCCTTGCAAGAGGATTTCCTTTTGAGAGCCAGCAGAGGGGCTGTCTTCGGAAGGGGCATTTTTGAAAACACCTGGGTTCCACATGTGCTTCAAGGTTTTCGTAAGGAGGCGCTGTGACAACACAGACACACAAACGCACACACACACACTCACACACACACACACGCGCGCGCACACAGACATCTGTCGCATAGGTTTCAAGGTTGTGGTAAGAAAGCCAGGTGGAAACACATCTATTCCACATATCTTAAAATCTTATGTATTTGGGCGCCCCTCTTCTTCCCTGCTCCTTCTCCTCCTCTTCAATGGCTTCAGGGACAATGCGCGAGACGACAAATGGGTGAACCACATGTATTCCATATATGTTCAAGGTTTTGGCTCGGAAACCCGTTGGGAACACAGGTATCCCATACATCGTTGTAGGTTTTGTGAAGAACACAATTATCCCAGCTAGTTTCAAGATTTTGGTAATGACATCATGTGGCAACGCAGATATTACAGATTCGAAGTTCTCTGTACACGGGCGCTCCTCCTCCACCTGCTCCTTCTCCTCCACGCCCTCCAGGGACAATGCACCAAGCATGCAAATCGGTGCAACCACACGTATTCCACATATGCTGACCAAGCATGCAAATCGGTGCAACCACACGTATTCCACATATGCTGAGGGTGTTGGCCTGGAAACCCAATCGACACACAGTTATGCCATGTATACGGCTATATTTTTTGCAAGGGAGCCTTGAGACAACACAGTTGTCACGTCTGGTTCCCCTGCCAAGACACCTGTCTGGTGAGCACTCGCGGTCTCATGTCTGGGGAGCCCCTGCCCAGAACATGTCAGGTGAACACTCGCTGGTCTGGGGAGAAGAAATGTGCCTTGGCAGGGGAACACAGCTGTCACATTTGGGTTCCCCTGCCAAGACACTCAAGCTGAAGACACCAGGCGGAGCTCCGGGATACACACACACATGATATGTTCTGGAGACGGGCGCGCTGCAAGGCTGGGGGAGCAGGGGGAGCGGGGGCGCCCGTCGCCAGAACGTCTTAACATCTATTCGACATCTGTGTGTCCACCGGGCCTCCTCACCAAGAACCAACAACAGTATGGTGGATAGATCTGTTGTCGCATGGTGTCCATACCAAGACCTTCAAACATAGAGGCAACATATGTGGTTTCGCAAGTTTTCCTGCCTGGCGCAATGTTTCTGGGGGGTGGGAGCGGGGAGGGGGCGGCTTGGAGGAAGAGGCGCGTCCATCTTCAGAAACAATGTTTAAAGAGATCAGGTATCGGTGTTTTCCCCAGGCTTCCTCACCAGAAGCTCAACAAGTATATTGGGTAACGTTGTCTTTGCACGGTTTCCCTTACCGCGGCCTCCAAATATAGATGGACTAGATTTGTTGTTGCAGGTGTTAGTGTTCCTGCCTGGCACATCATCCATGGGGGGCGTGGAGGAGGAGAAGAAGCAGGAGAAGGAGGGGCGGCCGTCTCCAGAAAATCTCAACGTATCTGGGATGTGTGTTTTTGCCACAGGACGTACCTACCAAGACCCACTACCGTATATGTGTTATCGGTGTTTTCAAACCAGGTTTCCCTACACAAACCTTGAACCATACATGCAATACAAATGTGTTCGAACAGTTCCTTCAGAAATCAACTCCGGTAGGGTTTTTTCTCTCCAAAAAGGCATTCTGCTGCCATGCCGCCACAAAAGGGAACAATTCGCCCGGCATCCTTCAAGTGAATCCCTTGGCAAGGCCGCTCCTGCAGGAGGAGAAGGAGGAGCGGAGGACACGAGGAGGAGAGGGGGAAGAGAGAGAGAGAGAGTGAGCGAGACCACGACGAGCCCACAGTGATTTTCATAGGGGGACCACGCGTATGATCATGTGGATGGGGGCGTCCGCACATGTATCGGCGGTGGACAAACCTCCCTTTAGTAGACCTCCCCTTAGTGAAAACGGCCTAGGACCGAAACCGACGGACCTGGACCCGCAACAATGACGGCCGCGACGCCCTCTCGCGAACCAAAAACGGCCAATTCACTAATCGACGTGTCAGGGTAGGAGGTCTATCCACCCCCGAATGTATATATAGATATATACGCACACGCATACATGTGCACATCTATTCTCCAAACGCTGCCTGCACTTTATGCTTATTGCTCGTCTTCGTTGGGAAATTTGATGGGTCAGCCGAGGCTCCGCCTGCTGCCCAACCGGTGGGCGCCCGTGGGCGCCTCGTGTGGAGCGGGTCGGCCGACGCTTCGCCCGGTGCCCGCCCGTGGGCGCCTCGTGCGCTGGGCGTGGCAGCCGAGACCTCGCCCGGTGCCCGCCCGGGGGCGCCCCGCGGGCGCCTCGCTCGCCGAGTGTGTGTGTGCCAGCGGAGGCTTCGCCCGGCGCCCGCACGTGGCGGTCGCCTCGTGCACGTGGCGGTCGCGTGGGTTGAGCCACGCAGCTCTGCACCGCACGGCGTGCGCCGCCCAGCTTCGTGCCGCACGCGTTGCACCGCACAGCCTGGGCAGAGCACAGCAGCACTGCGCCGGACAGCCTGCGCCGCACGGCCTTTGCGGGTGCGCACGGCTTGCACCAGATGCCCTGCACCACATACTGCACCACGTGGACTGCACCGTAGACCTTACACCGCTTAGCTTGCGCCACATATCTTGCACATCCACTGCAAACTTATTGTGTGGGGTCCGTGGTGGCAGGCACATGCACACACATATATATATATATATACATGAACACACAGACACTTCTTCAAGCTCCGAGATCTCTACTGCATTTCCTCTGCATAATTACCTCGACATTCGGGAACGAGTGTTAAACACGATACCAATCGCACGATACAGCGGAGGCAGGCATGGCCTCCTCCGGATTCGCATCGCACGGGTAGGCATCCGACTGCTCGTCGGGCTGCTCGGGCGTGCCGGCGCTCGAGTTTGCCTGCGCCTGGACGCGTGGAGCTGGCACAGCAAGGAATGTAGATCCTACCAGCTAGCCGACCAGAACACCAACCAACTTACCTACCAAGCGCGGCAGTGCGAGCAGTCGGAGGGGAGGCGGCGGCAGAGGAGGAGGTCCCTTCATACTGTGACTGCAATGATGCCATTGCACAACCACGAGAGCCTTGCTTGCTGGCTTCCGATCAGAAGCAATGCCTTCTGTCCAGATGCAATGTGCCAGGCCTCGGTCGGCAGCGCTCGGAATGCTCGCTATAGCACGCCCAATACATCCCCGACCCAGTACGGCATTGCCAGCACATGCGCGCATGAGCTACATGTCGCAATGCCAGGCTCGCTCGGGAACGAGGGTGGGCGCTGTGGCGCTCGCTCCGACGGCTTGCAACCAAATGCAGGGAGAAATGTCCACACAGAGCAAGCAACATGTCTTGACCGGTGGCATATTAGTAGTCATCCGCACGTTCCCTTCATATGGTTGGCGGACATCGACACAGCATGCTACAATACTGACTTAAGCATAACTCACCAGTGTTCCAGGCTGTACCATATTGATCTAGCTTCACATGCTAGTATCAACTTACGGTGGAATTGTCTTTACGCAGCAGCTCATGTGTGTAGTGGCTGGCGGCGCGAATGTCAAGCAAACTCGAGCTAGCCAATGCGTATCGACAGAATCCGATGCCACATCTTTAAATAAAGTAAGCTGCGTAGATCCCAAAACGGAGCTCGCACTGACAAGCTCTTGCATGCTTATTCATGGCTTCCCTTGCTCCTGGTATGCTCTCGGCAGATATCGCCCCCCTTCTCGCTGGGACTCGCTCGTGGGAGTCTGCCGTGCCAAACGGCTGGGTCCCACCCGCTGGGGCCTAACACACCAGGGCCCGACACGACAGGGACCCCCACGACAGGGTCCCACACAATAGGATCCCACGCGAGAGGTTGCTACAAGACAGGGGCCCTCACGATAGGGTCCCACACGATGATGTTCCGTAGATCGCATCCCCATGTTATTCTGACTTTTGCGCTACACTGGGTAGACACATGCACGCATGTTCGGCTGTGACGACCCTTCGTGAGTGCGCAGTCGAGGCCGCTGCACGATCTGTCATCACAGAAACCGCAATGATCGGCCACGCTCCCCTCGACATCTCAACAAGACGACCGGCCTGGGAAACCGGAGATCACTAGATGACAATGATGACGACGGTGACGATGACGACGACGACGACGACGATGGCGACGACGACGATGACAATGGCGATGACGACGACGATGACGATGACGTCGTCGTCGTCGTCGTCGTCGTCGTCGTCGTCGTCGTCGTCGTCGTCAGCAGCAGCAGCAGCAGCAACAGCAGCAGCAGCAGCAGCATCACAGAACCGTGCACCGAGGAGGGGGCCCTGGCGCGGCGACGGCGGCGGAGGCTAGAGGCCGGCCGCCGCACGGCGCTAAGGGGCAGAAGCACGGCGCCTCGTGCGGCTTCGTGCTGCCGCCTGGCACGGCGTGGGCAGGCGCGAGCCCAAGCTACGGTGTGGGCATTGGATAAGGAACCAGTAGACAAGAAGGAACCCAGGGTCTGGAAGCAGGTGGAACTCCAATGCTGGCTTGGCCATGGATGTCACTGCCGCCCTCATCAGGAACGGAACCCCCCAAAGTCTGAAGCCTCCTCGGCACACTCCTTGACCAGCGCCCCCACCGTAAGAGCATCCTGGAGGCCTCGCGCGGCAGTTGCTTCGGGCCCGAGCTGCGTCGGACTCGCGTCGGATTTGCGTCGGGCTCACGTCGGCTTTGCGTCAGGTTTACGTCGGGGTTCACAACGGCCTTACGTCGGAGCATCGCCGCGCGAGCGTCGACCCATATCTTACGGTGCGGACGCGTGGACCGGGCGATGCAACAATGGCGCGCCACGCGAGGCCTCCAAGATTTTCCCCCCGACAGGCCCAAGACTGCCGCAAAATCCAACAGAGCAGCGGCAAAGCATGCATCCCGCTGCAATGAAAGCCGCCGCCTGCCGTCGCTCGGACGTCCATTCCCCGTGCATTTTTTCGGTTTCGTGCGCGTTTTTTTTTGTTGTTGCTCGATGGTCCAGGATGGTCCTCGATGGTTCTCGCCGAGAAAAAGCTCAAGGTGGGGGGGGCGGGGTTGAACACTGCCGTGGCGAATTGATCGCAGCAGTGAGAAGCATGCTTTGCGGCGTCCGTCCGAACAGTGCTTGCGCCGACGGCTTCTTGCTCAGCTCGCTTCGCTTCCGCGCCCATCCGGCCCCGACAGGCCTCCCAATCCCCAGAAAGAAAGCAATGCTTCCCATGCGGCGGGATCTCGCGGAGGTATCCTGGCTGCTGCCTCATGAGGCCTCCGAATCATTCCACTCCGCCCTACCCGATAAGGTCCCACCCCATAGGGTCCTACTCGATGAGGTCCAAACTTACCTGTAAAGTCATCGTGTTACCATAAGGTACGCAACAGAAGGGACCACAAGGGATTCCTGGTCATGGCGAACCTCGGCCACGACTCGTTTCCCCGGCCTAGATCTAAGAGACGGCCCCAGAATCAGAGCACCTCCTGAGCCCAAAGCGGTCCTTATTTCAGCTCCTTGACTGTAGGGTTACTCTCCTGCTGCTCCTCCTCCTGACTTCGACCTGCAGCTTTTGACAGCGCCCTCTCCACCACGACTTCGACATCCACCTGTGGACAGCGTGACGGGCATCAGCAGCACGAAGGCTGCGCAGCGAGACGGATACCAGCATCACGGCAAAAAACAAACTCACGATTCAGACATCAACCTGTGGATAAAACCGGCGCGATGCTGAGAGGCCCGGCAGCTACCAGCTGCGCGAGGCCAAGATCATCGTGGAGCAACACTTCCGAGAGCAACATCACGGCTTGCCATCCACGAGTGCCGACTTCCGTGCGGCAGGCCGAGACGTGTGAGGGCCTCTCTGGCCATGGCGGACCCCGCGTAGAAGCTCCGCTCGGGCTCCTCGGCTGCCATCCAACCCTTCGCCTTCCACTTTCGCATCCGAATCGCTGGCGTCCGCGCCACTCCTTTCGAGAGCGTGGCGCGCGGCTGTTTGCGCTGCCGCTGCTGGCCGACCCCGAGGCCGCGCTCCGACCAGGTCTGGCCCTCCAGCCGCAAGCCGCTCCGAGGATCCTCGCGCTGCGCTCGTCTCTTCGGCGCCCGTGCCCGCACTCAGGCGCTTCAGTGTACGAGGGATTGCGCCCCGCTTTTGCCTTCTCTGCTCGGGTCGGGTGTGCATAAGGATTGGGGTCATACACGAAGGACGAATCGGTCTTCGGTCGGTTCTGCTCTCTCGAGCGATGTGCCCAGACGCAGAGTGAGCATTGCAACACATCCTACGCAACCGTGGCTGGGACCCAACACTCTACACAACGAAGGCGTGACGATGGGGCGGAGGAGGAGCAGGAGGGGAGCGGACAGAGAGGAGGAGGACGATTAGGACGGAGGAAGAAGCCGAGCAGTACCAGGGGACTCTCCCGCCTGGCGGCTTGGGGCAAGCAACCTCCTTCTCCTTGCAGCAGAAGACCCTGCGGCGAGCCGGCGAGGATGGCGAAGGGGTGAAGGGGGGGAGGGGCGAGGAGGCGGGAGGGGAAGCGGCAGGACTCAGTGCTTCTAGGTTGGCCGCGCGCGCCCCCGCGAAGAGGCACGAGGTGCGGCGACGGCGACGGCGGCGGTCGAGACGGCGACGACGACAACGACACGACAGACGACCGACGGGACGCCAGGGAGAAGTGCGGGGGGAGCGGCGGGGCAGGAAGGGGATGGCGACGGAGAAACGTCTGGAAGGGCACGGATACCCACCATGCCACCGGTCGTGCCCCCCAACCCTGGGGAGGCCAGGCAGCTGTGCCGCGAGCCTCCAGCGGTGAGAAAAAGCCAAGTCACGGCATCGGGTGAGCACACACAACACACAACACACACATCAGACAACACACACACAACACACTCAGCACACAACACACACACAACAGACAACACACAGCACACACAACACACAACACACACAACACACAACACACAACGCACACGGCACACACAGCACACACAACACACACACACACAACACACACAACACACAACACATACAACAGCACGCAACACACAGTTCACCCAGCACACACAACACACAACACACACAACACACACAACACACAACACACGCACAGCACACACTACACACAACAAACACAAAACAACACACATCACACAGCACACACAACACATAACACACAACATATACACAACACACAACGCGCATGCACACAACTCACAATGCATGACACACAACCCACAACACATACACAACACACAGCACACACAACTCACAACACACAGCATACACACAGCACACAACACGCACACACCAGACACAACACACTTAACACGCAGCACACAACACACAGCACACAACACACACACACACACCACAGACACAATATACGCAAAACCGACACAACACAACACACACACGCGCAACACACACCACAACACACAAACACACACACATAACACAACACACACAACACGCACAACACACAACACACAGCGCACATAACACACAACGCACACACAACACATACAACACACAGCACACAACATGTATAACACACACACACACGCCACACAACACACAACACACAGCACGAGACACACACACAAACTACACACAACACACAACACACAATCAACACACAAACGACACACACAACATACAACACACACAGCACACAATACACAACACACAACACACACACACAACATACACAACACACAACACACAACACAAACAACACACACACACTCTATTCCGAGGAAAACAAAGAGGATTATGATGACACGTATAAGGATGATGAGGAGACGGAGGGGGAGAACCGAGAGGTGGTGCACAATAAAAGCCTAAAGCCCCTGAAGCTGAAGCGGAAGTACCGGAAACTGTCCGCGGGGGACGGCCCTATGAGAGCCCTGCGGCCTCGGAGGGCGTGAATGACGACGAAACTTACGAGATTTAGGGGGGGCTGATCGAATGCCCGTGGGGACGGAAATGCGCAGTGAGGCGCACACAGTCACCGAGCTGCCACAAGGAACGCCGAGAAAGGAGCGAAGGGGCTTTTTCCCGGCCACGGCGCGCCTCGGCTACGAATCGGTGCCTCGACCTTAGATCCAGGGAGCGGCCGAAAGCCAGAGCCCCTCCCGAGCCCAACGCAGTCCTGCTGTCACCGTCTTGGCTGTACGATCGTCCCGCGGGGACCGCAGTCGGGGCCTCTCCCCCGTGGGGAGGAGGGGAGCCGCGCGAGGTGTGGGCCAAGACTTGGCGGGGCGCAGGCGCCCGTGCCGCAAGCGAAATGCGCGTGGGGCCCGTCGTGGGGGCCTCTTTCAGCCCTCCCGTGTGGTGCTGGGCCCTCGCTTTGCTCATCACCTCCTTCCTCCTCCCCCCTCCCCTCCCCTTGCTTTTCCTCCTCCTCCTCCTGCCTCTGTTCTCCTCTTGTCTGTTTCGGCACACCCCTCACACGCTTCGTTGCCTCAGAGGGAGCTCCACCGAAGGCCCAGTGGAAAAGTCCACCCGGCATCTCTCTCCGCCAATATCGGCACACCCCGTACACGTTTCACGGCCCCACAGGAAGCTCCACCGAAGGCCCCAGTGGCATTGCGCCCCCTCGCCCATTTGGCGCACCCATCGTACGTTTCGCGCTCCACAGACCTCTCTCTATCCACACTTGCCTGCGGCGGGCAATCCATGAAGAGAGGGTCACACGCATCTAGGGCTGGGTCAATCGTCAAGCTATGTTTTGTCAACGCAACAGAGCGCTCAGATAATCTTATCACGCATTAGCCGGCAGCGCCAACCACACCGCATTGCCACGCATATATAGGCCAGCGTAGACTCTAAACAGTGGGCTATTGTTTACTGTGGAAGTGGAACAGATGCGGAGTAAGCTGTGTGGTGTCAGCTACACCGTGTAAGCTATGCAGGGTGAGCTGTGTGGTGCCAGCTGCGTTGTGCAAGTCGTGCTGCGTGAGCCGTGGAGTGTTGATTCGCCATGTGGGGTGTGACCTCTGTGATGTGAGCCGAAGATGGACAGAACCCCCTTTGGTAAAACGTGGTTTAGTGAAAACGACATCGGGCCCAAACCTGGCGGGCGCCGGCCTGGAAAACGACGGCCGCGGCGCCTCCTCGAGAACCGAACATGGGCAATTCGCTAACATCGACGTGTCGGGGTGGGCGGCCTGTCCACCCCCGAGTGAGCTGTGCTGTGTCAGCCCTGCGGTGTTAGCCGTGTGGCCTCAGCGACGCCGTGCACGCCGTGGACGCCGTGCGCCGTGCACCGCGCGGTGCGCGCCCCGCCGCCCACCCCGCGGCACAGAGGCGCCCACGAGCGCCCGCGGGCGCGCCCGCGGCACGGGCGGCACGGGTTGGCGCCCACGAGGGCCCCCTCCCGCGGGCACCGCGGTGCCCGCGCGGAGCCTCCTCGGCGGACCCGCCCGATGACCTGGCGGACTTCGGAAGCCCTGTGCCCACAAAAAAAAGCGTCTTCCTCTCCTCTTGGGCGCGTGTTTTTTTGCCTTCTACTTCCGCCGCCTTCCGCCGAGCTTCCGCCGGCTTCCGCCGGCGGAGGCGGCCTCGTTCTACTTCCGCCGACCTTCCGCCGCCTTCCGCGGCGGAAGAGGCGACAACTCATTCAATCCTCGAAGGCAAGGCCGTTTTTGGGACGCCCCACTTATCAAAAGAGGTGCGAACCCCCAAGTGCAAGCACTGTTCGGGGAAAAAGCGTTAACAACAGCCGAGCAAAGGAAGGAAGGGCGAGGAGCCAAAGAGAGGACGAAAGCGGAGATTCAACCCGCGAGCAGAAGGGTGCTCCCTGCGATGGGGGCTCCCAAATGGCAGTGTGGGCTCCCAAGAGGCAGTGTGGCCTCCCTGCACGGGGAAGGGAGCATGTGGAGGGCTGGGCCATTCGGAGCTGCGGGGCGAACGTGCTCGCATCTGGGGCTGCAGCTGGGGACCCCAGCGGTGGGATGAAAAGGAGCGTCAGGGGGGACGGCTCAGGGATGGAAGCATGGAGCTGGAATTGGCGATACGAGAGGCCACCCAAATGGGGTCCTGATAGATGGGGTCGGAGGATCGTGCTGCATCGCCGATGCATCGGCGATGCATTGGCGACATCGATGATGTATCGGCAACATCGGCGTTGAGAAATCGAGCTCTACATCGAGCCACATCCACGATGCATAGGGATGCGGCGCGATCCTCGGACCCCATCTAGAGCCGAAATTGTGATCAAGAAAATCATTATGCAAGAAACCTGGGCCAGCTTCCCGAACATTTCTTTAGACAAGCCTGGGCCAATATCCGTTGTTAACGCTGGAGGAAGCCAACGTGCTCAAGAAGCTGGGCCAGCTTTCCGGCAGGCTGGCTCAGAAACGTTGGCCCGACTTTTCGGGAGGAGCTTTCTTAATCATGTGCTCGACCGTACTCCGACACCATCTGGGAGGCCCACACGTCGCTCGGAAGAAGCAGGCAGCGGCATGACGTAGGAAGGCGGATTGGGTTGATTGGGTCCAGGCCCCCCCAGGGAATAGCAAACACACAGCAAAAGCGTGCCGACTCTTGAAGTGGGAAGGCGCTTGAAGTAGATTGGGATCTGTAGGGAGCCCACAAAGGACGTACGCGCCCAGCTATGTACATGAACACGGACCCTTGACCCGCGAGACCGGCCGCGTGATACGAATATTCGCCTAATGCGAAATCTCGAAAACAGCGTGGATTCATGTACGTGTACGTCCTTCTTTCGCTCCTGAATCTGGGAATCCCCCAAAAGCGCACCTACTTTCAACGACCGGCGTGCAGAGGTACCTCGCCGATGGATCGGTGAGAGGCGCTCGTTGCCCCCGTGGTGGCAGGGGGCCCCCGGGGGCCGCCGCCCCCTCCCCGCGGCCTCCGAGCCGCGGGCGCCCCCCCCCCCCCCCAGGCAGGACCAGCGGCGACGACCAAACAGGGAAGCGAGGGGGAACCACAGGGGGGGGGGGGGACCGGCGCTGGAGGGGGGGGGGGACATCGAGCGATGCATCGTCATCGTCATACATCGTCATCGGCGATACATCGGTTATCGACGACAGATCGGAGACAGGCCCTCGACATCGAGACCGCACGATCCTGGGCGGGGTGGGCTATCGGGCACCAATCGGCGATGAGTGGGCGATTGTGGGGGTCGATGCATTCCCCCCCCTGAGCCTATCCCCCCTTGACGTTGCCCTTGTGGGAGGGGCCCGGACGCAGGGCCCTCCCACCCACCCCGGGCAGGATCAGCGGCGACGAGCCGCAAGGAAGGCCCGCGAGGGACCAGGCAATGCCAAGGGTGGTCACCACCAGGGGGGTCGCCAATGAGCCCCCTGGTGGTGACCAATGGCCCTGCAGGTAGCGGACCCCCTGGGGCCTCCAGGGCCCCCCAAAGAGCCTCAAAGAACCCCCAAGACGCCCCCAAGCCTCCCCCCCCCTCAATCCTCCCTCCCCCATCGATCCTCGATTTCCTTAAGGAACTAGTACGCCCAAGCACACCCCCCAAACCTCCCCCCTCCTCAATCCTCCCTCCCCCATCGATCCCCGATTTCCACAAGGAGCTGGTACGCCCAAGCACGCCCCCAAGCCTCCACCCTCCTCAATCCTCCCTCCCCCATCGATCCACGATTTCCACGAGGAACTGGTACGCCCAAGCACTCCCCCAAGCCTCCCCCCTCCTCAATCCCAGAGATCCTATGTCGTGATTTGTTCAATACGGGGTCCCCGGAAGTCTCGACCCATTCCCCAGGACCGGTTTTTCACCTTGAGTCGCTTTCTGACGGTCTCGCGGCCCAGCGAGGGCCCCAGGGGCCGAAAACTGCGAACAAAACGCCGTCTTGATTTTTGTTAATGCGTTGGATCTCTGGGATCCTCCCTCCCCCATCGATCCCCCAATTGCGCAAGGAACCTGTGACCCCCCGGTGTTGCCCCCCCCTTTGGCAGGTGCTCGGAGCGGGCGGCGAGCGCCGGGGCCGGCGGCCCGGCGGCGTGGCGCGGCGGGGTCTCCTCTGCAGGATGGTCCAGGCGTCCACGTCGGAGGCGTCGGGGTCTTCCCGCCCGGGCTCGGGGGGGCAGTAATAGGAGGAGGAGGAGGAGGAGGAGGAGGAGGAGGAGGAGGAGGAGGAGGAGGAGGAGGAGGAGGAGGAGGGAGGAGGAGGGAGGAGGAGGAGGAGGAGGAGGAGGAGGTTGGAGCGTCTGGGGAGGAGGAGGAGGAGGAGGAGGAGGAGGAGGAGGAGGAGGAGGAGGAGGAGGAGGAGGAGGAGGAGGAGGACTGGCACAGGAGGGGCACATCGACCTGGAGTCGGCGATACATTGCCGATAGATCGGCGATTGGCCACCGACAGTGAATCCGCACGTTCTTGGGCAGGCTGGGGGTGTCGGGCCCCTATCGGCGATCAGTGGGCGATTGGGGGTCGCTGCACTTACCCCCTACGCCTCCGCCGCCTACCTGGCCTCCTGGTCTGGCGCGGCCGAGGAGGTAGTGAGAGACCTGGGGTGCAGCTCGCTGCACGACGCCCTGGAGCGCCTGCCTGCCGCCGCGCGCAAGCTGGAGGAAGCGAGGCAGGGCCTGGCCGGGCAGGGGTTGCTGCTGGCGGACGGCGGAACGCTGGCTGACAGCCTGGCGCGCGAACTCAAGCAGGGCTTGGCTATGGATAATGTGCAAAAGACACACCACGCTGCACTCCTGCAGCGTTTGCCCCTCCTCCAACAAGCCACTCTGCGAGGGCAAGCTGGGCCGGGCGCGGCAGCCTTCCTGGGCTACCCCACCGAGGCGCTCTGCGCGCTGGAGGACGCGCACTGGGAGACGGCTACTCGCCTCCGGCTGCACCTCCGGAGGCCCGAGTGCTCCCGGGACCAGCTCGCGGCGGCGACGGCCCACTGCTGCCTGCAGAACGCCAGCGGCGAGGTCTGTGGGGAGCCGCTGGACGACCTCGGCTACCACGGCGCCACTTGCCAGAGCGGCGGCGGGGTGGTGCGCAGGCACGGCCGGCTGGCTCGGCGGCTCGGCGGCCTGCTACGGCGCTGGAGGCACGAGCTCCCGCTCTACGAGCAGCGGGCCCCGCTCTGGGACAGGCCGAAGCCGGGCCACCCCGGGGAGACAGAGCGCGCCGTGCTCGACCTCGAGTTCCAGGACGACGACGGGCGTCGCTGGCTCGACGTGTCCGTGCGGCACCCCGCCGCGGGCACCGAGGCGGAGCAGCGGGTCGCGGCCCGTCGCGACGGCGAGGCGAGCCGGCGCGGAGAGCGAGACAAGCACGCTCGTTACCCGGGGGAGCGCCTCACCCCGATCATCCTCGAGGCGGGGGGGCGGCTCGGGGCCGAGGCGCGCCTCTGGCTGAAGGCAGAGGTGCGACGCCTGCCTGACGCCGAGCAGGCCCGCGAGCTCGCCCGCGCGCACCGCGTGCTCTCCTGCGGCCTGCAGGGCGAGCTGGCGCGGCAGCTGCGCGCGGCCGCTGGCTTGCGCTGAGCCGACCGCGGGCGGCGCGCTGGCGCCTGGCCACCTGGGGCAGCTGCGGCGGCGGCGGCGGCGGCGGCGGCGCGCGCGCCGGCGCCGGGGCGCTGGCGGCGACTGCGGCGCCGGGGGCGCCTGAGGCTCCCGCGGCGACGGCGGCTGCGGCCGCGCTGTTCGGCGCGGCGCGGCGCGACGTGGGCGGCGGCGGCGCGGCGCGGCGCGGACGGCGGCGGCGCTGCTCGGCTGGCTGCGCCGGAGTCTGCCGCGCCGGGCGCCACCGCGAGCCGGCGCTGCGCCGCTGCCGCGAGCTGGCGCGGAGCCAGGCGCGGCGGGCCGGCGCCTCGGGCGGCTGGCGACCTGGCGACCTGGCGGCGGCGGCAGCGCCTCGGGCGCCTGGCGCCCCGGCGGCGGCGGCGGCGCACTGCTTGGCGGGCGGCCACCTGCTGCGCTGGCCGGCGGCTGGAGGGCGGCGCAGGGCGGGTGCCGCCGGGGCGTCGGCTTGGGTGCGGGCAATTCCCGCCCCCTGGGAGAAGTCCTGCTGGGATTTCTCCCGGGGTGGGGCGCCAGCAGCAGGCTGCGCCTGTGTGCTGGCGCGGGTTTGCCTGTGCCCTTGCTAATGCTCCTCTCCGAACAGACTTGGTGCGCAGTGTCTGTCTGTCTGTCTGTCTGTCTGTCTGTCTGTCTGTCTGTCTGTCTGTCTGTCTGTCTGTCTGTCTGTCTGTCTGTCTGTCTGTCGTCTGTCTGTCAATCTGTCTGTCTGTCTGTCTGTGTGTGTGTGTGCGTGCGCGTCCGTACTGTGAGCACGCAAGTGATCACACTTGCTTGCGCGTGCAAGCGCGAATCAGCGTGCATGGGCAAACACATGATCATGCACTGCGTGTGCAACGAGCGTTGGATGCAGACCCCGCCGACAGCCATGCCCCCCCAAGACGCCGACCGCAGCATGACAGCGGGATCGGCATGCGACGAACTGCCACGGACGGTGCCCGCGCACGATGCAGCAGGGGTCGGGCAATGCTGCGCGCGACGCCTTGCGGCTGTCTCCGCCCACAGGAAGCCGCCGAGCCAACGCCTGTGGAGAACGCTGTCGCGATCGGAGGTGCCGGCGGTCCCCGCCCGGGGCGCGGGCCCGCGAGGCTGGCGGGGAGCTGCGGCACGGCGGCGGACGCGGCGGTCGTCGTTCTCGTCGTGCCCTCGTCGTCGTCATGCGCGCACCTCTTCTCCTTCTCTGTGTTCTCTTCTTTTTCTTATTTTTCCTTTGTTTTGTTATTCTTACTCTCTCTTCGCCCCCTTTGCCCACCCACCGCAGGCGCGGGATGGAGGCTGGTCGGGGGCGTTGCTGCCCGCACCCGCGTCGGGCAGGCCTGTCACGGTACACATCCCAGAGGAACAATGAGATACAGATGCCGCTACTCCCCGGGGTGCGTTCTGACCAGAATTTCGAAAAGAATCCAACCGTGGCGACGCGGGCTCTTAAGGACAGGCAGTGGCATTGGTACGTTTCCTCCTCCGACATCCTGATCCCCCCCCCCGCGAAGTGCAGCTGCCGTCGGCCAGGTCCCTGAGCCAGGCCACGGGAGCTCAAATGCGCGCAAAAGTGACCCTATGCAAGAATGCCTCTGGTGCGCGGATTGACGGGGGCCGCGGGCAGGCCAAACACGATCGCGCAAGCAACTGCTATCGCATCGCGTTCGGCGATCGGGGGTCCCCATTGGGCCCGAACCAAAGGTCACTCTGGCGAAAAGTCACTCTTACGTCCAGTCGACCAGCGCCCTCGCGGTCAGGCCTGCCCGGCCTCAGCAAGCAGGGCGCCTCGTGCGACACTCGCGCTAAACTCGCAGCTCGCTATACTCGCTGTGGGCGGGCAAACTCGGCGTTCAAGCAGCGACTCGGGCCGCAGGGGGATGCGCTGCGCCGGGGTGATGCCGTCGGCTCCAGCGCGGCGCAACAGAGGATCCCCGTGCGAATTCGGGCGGGGCCTACCGGTGCTCCCGTATCCTGGCCCACCCTTGCTGGGACAGCAAATGACCACAACCGCATCGAGGACGCGCCCTGGGGGATGTCTTGCGCATGCCAAAAATTGTCGGAACACCGGAAGCAGCTTAGTACTGGTTGTGGTCGATGTGGCGTCCGAGGACAGACAAACCGACCCCAGCCACAACAAACGTGCTCATGTCGAGGTCGGTGGGTTCTCCCCCGAAGGGCCCTCCCGAAAAAATCAACTTAGTTGTGGTTGTGGTTCTTTGTTGTGCCCGGAGCCCTGCCCTCCGCAGTCGAAAGGTGCGTCCCCATCTTCGGCGTCAGGGCTGGCGTCCTGGTCCCCCTTGGTCTGCTCGCCAGCTCCTCTGGCGGGGCCGTGGTGGGCGGGGCCCCAGATGGAGGTGCTTCCTGGAGTATCGCCTCTTCTTCCTCCTCCTCCTCTTCCTCTTCCTCCTCCTTGTCGTCCTCCTCCTCCTCCTCCCCCTCCTCCGCCTTCTCCTCCTCCTCTTCCTCCTCCTCCTCCTCCTCGTCTTCGTCCTCGTCCTTGTCCTCGTCCTCGTCCTCCTCCTCCTCCTCCTCCTCCTCCTCCTCCTCCTCCTCGTGCCACCCTCCCTTCCTCCGCCAGCTCCACCTCTTCATTCTCCCCGTTATCCCCTCTTCCTCTTCCTCCTCCTTCTCCTCCTCCTCGTCCTCCTCCTTTCTGCTGCTGTTCCTCCTCCTCCTCCTCCTCCTCCTCCTCCTCCTTCTCCTCTTCCTTTCTGCCCCTCGCGCATGGATAGTAGGGTCCCCGTCATCGACTCGGGGATAGCGGGGGCACCCCTCGCTGGCAAAACCATTGGGGCGGTCGGCGCCGCCTGTATCGGCGCGGTATAAGTAGAGCTGGGGACCTGGCCGCAGGACTGGCGGAGGCGGGAAGGGTCGCGCCTCCCCCGGGGAGGGGGGTAGGCTGCTGTGGGGCTGTGCCCCTCCCCTCCTCCTCTCTCCCTTTGCCTCGTCTCCTCTCCCTCTCGTCTCCTCTCCTCTCCCTGGGGTTCACAGCTCCCGCGGCGGTTCACCCCACCGCTGGGACGAGGCCGGGGGACCTGCGGCGTCGCGCAGAGCGCGCCGCCGCCTGTAGTCACGCGGTGGTCCATGTTTCGGCCGCGTGCGCTTCAGGAGCGTCCGCCCTGAAGCCCAAGACAGGCCTTTGGGTAGGCGGCAGGCTCGTTTTCGTCGTCTCTGCCGTCGTGCTCACGGCTGAGAGGATCAGGCAAGCGAAATCCAAGCGAAATCCTCCTCCTTTCCTCCCTCATCCTCTCTCATCGCTCCTCCTCCTCCTCCTCCTCCTCCTCCTCCTCCTCTCCTCATCCTCCTCCTCCTCCTTCTCCTAGCCCTCCTCCCGCATCGCTCCTCCTCCTCCTCCTCCTTCTCCTCCTCCTCCACCTTCCCCTCCTCCTCATGCCTTTCCTCCTCCTCCTCGTCCTCGTCCTCCTCCTCCGCTTCCCCCTCATGCTGCAGACCTCTATCTCTGGGATCGCGGGTGTCCTCTCCGTCCCCTCCCTCATCGCCCTCCTCTCCCTCTTCCCTTCTATGCCTCCACTCCCTCGCCCCGTTCCTTCCCTGCACAGTGCACCCTCCTCCATGCACCCTCCCTCCTTCCTCTCTCTCCCCCTTCCTCGCTTCTCCCTCGTGCCTCACTCCATCTTCCCTCAGCCCTCCCTTTCAGATTCCTCTCCTCCTGACCATATACGCCAATATAGCAGGCACTGCGTATCTCATCCAAGCCACTCCTGGCAATTGCCGTGTCGAGACTAGGCTCGAGAAATCGGGTGTCTGAAACCATATCCCTGGCGGCATCGATCGGCCTGAGGCCTTGGCCCAAACATGTCGCAACACCGTGCGCCTGCTGGCAGAGACAGCACCGGCGGCAGACTGGAGGCAACGAGAGCCCCGACCCCATAAGAACTCGCCGACGACGGCAACGTTAGGGAAAAACCGCTGCGACGACTGAGACGACCAGCGCACGGAGCACAGGTCGAGCACCGCCTTTCGCAAGACCCCTCGGCAGGTCGGCTGCCATCTGGAGAAGCAGGCGAACAGATCGTACTGGCTGCGGCAGCTTCGTGCCGTGACCCCGGCGCTGGCTCCCGACACTGCGTGGATCGTCCAGCCTTGAAAGAAGGTCCACTCTTCGATCGCCGGGCAATGATCCCGAAAAGGTACGCGATGCATTGTAGAGCACGGCGTGGCATGGCGTAGAAGAGCACCGCGAAGCGTAGTATGAACCTGACATTGCATTGCATGCCGTGGCATGGCACGGGAAATGACGTCAGCGCTGCAGCGGGAGCACGAACCGTTTGGCCGCTTCCGGGCCACCGGCGGCACTCCCCCCTGAGCGCCCGCAGCGGGGCCGCTGCCGCGCCGGCACGACGCGGCCCTGCCGCGGACAGTTGCCCGTGCGCGAGGGGCCCGTCGCGCGGAGCTGCGCGAGGGGCTGGTCGCCGGGAGGCCCTCTGGAGCCCCCCCCCCAGGGAGGGACGCCCGTGCCGCCCCTGCGCGGGGAGCCTCCGCGCGAGGGTCGCGTGGGCGCGGGTCGCCAGAGCCTCGACGCCACCATGGAAGCGCCAGGGACGAGTCTCACAGGGTTCTCCCGTGCTAGGCGAACGGGCCGATGAGAAGCCAGGCGAGGCTTGCGTCAGTCAGGGAAGGCCTCGCCTCCAGGCAATAAGCAGACCGCGTCTCCAACAAGGCCAGGCGCGCCAAAGCGAGCAGAAGGAAATCAGGCCCAGCTTTGCCACAAGCAGCACGTACTGCGAGCGCGGCTGGGGGCCCCCAGCAGGCTGCAGCTGGCATGGGCGCACTTCCGTCGTGTGGACGAGCAGGCCGCATCTAATCACGAAGGCCTCTGCGAGGTCCCGGGCAACCAGGACGGATGTAAGGAGAACGACCAGTCAACGCCCAAGGGCTGGCCCTGAGCGGACATGGACGTCAATGTGATGTGGGCAGGGGCGTCTACGAAACAGAGCCGCCCTCGAGGATAATTTGAGCCAGTGCCAAGGAAACATCTCTGAACGATATCCCCAGAGAAGAGTTGGGGATGGACAGAAGAACCAGGATCTATACAAGATGAAAACATGATGGCAACGATCCGTGCTCAGCCGGGCTCTGACCTAGGCAAGACGCAACAGGCTGGCGCATGCAGACTAGATGTTCAAACTCGTGCTGCAAACTCTCTTGCAGGGGAGGGAGAGGGAGGAGCTCCGGACTCTAGCGAAGACGGACCCCGACGCATTCGAGACGAGTGCGCCTTCCGAGTCGAGGTCAGGGTGCGCCTTGGGCTCAAAGTGAAGGCGTAACTTCGGATAGAGTGCGAGCAAGTGCTTGCGGGAAGGGCAGTGACCAGTCCGCAACGGGGCGGTGCAGCAGAGGGCTCGGCGGGCGAAGGCACCAATCATGGCGCTAGCGTGCAGAGGGAGGAAACTTGCGCGCCGAGCATCATGGCAATCGCCGGTAACTGCAAGAGCATGGACTTTGCAACAGTCGAAGGGATCTGAGCATCCCCCTGCTTCTTACACCTCCTCCTCGTCCACCTCCACACCTCCTCCCCCTGCTCATCCTTCCGCTTCCTCTCCCCCCTCCCCTTGTCCCGCTCCACCGCGCGCCCGACTCCGTCCATCCCAGTCCCCTCCCTCCCTCCGTCCCCGATCCGCAGTCCCCAGTTGCGTGCACCAAGCGCTTGTCTCTACTTCTTCTGAACGCTACCTCCTGGGACTATGCGGTCCCCGTCCATCCCCGTCAAGCAACAATTCGCCCCGCCGCATCCCACCCCACCCCACCCCAGCTCACCCCACTTCACCCCACCCCGACCCACCCCACCCCACCCCACCCCACCCCACCCCACCCCAGCCTTCCCCACCCAACTCACCCCGCCCCACCCCGCCCCACCCCACCCCACCCCACCCCACCCTGCCCCATCCCAGCAACGGGGTGCGGTTGAGCCTGCGACCAGGCGAGCAAGCGGGCGAGCGGCAGGCGGGCAACTTGGTGCGGGCAGGTGGCCGGGCGGCCGACTGGATCGGTGCGTGGGCGAGCGGGCGGGTCGCCTGGAGGTTCACGCGTGGAGCCTGTGGTAGCTGGCGGTACACACACAGGTGGATGCGTTGGTCTTCCCCGTCGGATCCGCCGTTCTCCCTTGCTGTCTGGTGGGCTGCCCGCGGACCCGGTGAAGGGCTTCCCCTCTGCTCTCGCGCACCATTCCCCTGCCCACTCCACTCCACCCCCCCCCACCCCACCCCACCCCACAAGCCTACCTCAACCTGGGCCCCACCCCACGCACGCCACCATGCAATGGCCGTGCGTTGACACGGGCGCAACACCGCGAACTGCCCACACGACGGAAGCGTGGAGTGGGTTTGGACACGGGGGAGTCCCCCTCCCCCCAATCTCCCCACCTCCCCGCTCCCCACCTCCCTCCCGCCTCCCCCAACACCTCCCCCGCCCGCACCCCCCACCCCCCCACCCCCCCTTCAGACCCCCCCCCTACCCCCCACTCGCCGCCCTCCCCGCACCCGCCGCCCTCCCCCGGCCCCACCCCGCTCCACCCCACCCGCCACCCCTCAGCCCCCACCCCCGCATCCCACTGATCCCAAGCTCCACACAACCAGTGCAACGAAGCAGAAAGTCTCGCGAGCAAGCATCTGTGCACGTGCGAAGTTCACCCTGCGACAGAATTGGGGACAGGGTGCGGGTGGGGTCGGGGATAGTGCTGGGGTGGGTAGAGCTAGGTGCGGTTCCTTGCTGTGCAGCAGCGCTCAGACGCTTCCGGCCTGTTCCCCAATCAGAGCTTGCCTCTGTAGGGGTCCCAGCGGATTCATATGGTTAGGTGAGGTGCGGCGCCGATTTGGTGGCCGGCCGGCCGGGTGCCCGGGGGTGCCCGGGGGTGCCCGGTTACCCGGGTGCCTGGGTGCCTGGGTGCCTGGGTGCCCGGGTGCCCGGGTGCCCGTGTGCCCAGGTGCCTGGGTGCCCAGGTGCCCGGGTGCCCAGGTGCCCGGTAGCTCTATATAGCCCTATAGCCCTATAGCCCTGTAGCCCTATAGCCCTAATAGCCCTATAGCCTTATAGCCTTATAGCCCCATACCCCTATAGCCCTGTAGCCCTATAGCCCTACAGCCCCATAACCCTATAGCCCAATAGCCCTATAGCCCTATGGCCCTGTAGCCCTGTAGCACTATAGCCCCATAGCCTTCTAGCCCTATAGCCTTTTAGCCCCATAGCCCTAAAGCCCAAAAAAGATTATGATTGGGTTTTTCTCCGGTATCATTGGATTTCTGCATGAGGTGGTTGAAGCGATTGAAGCTAGATGCGGTCCATTGCTGGATAGCCGCGCTCAGGCACTTCTGGCCAGAATAATTTCTGTATGAGTTGGTGAAGCTAGATGCGGCCCCTTGCTGGACAGCCGCGCTCAGGCACTTCTGGCCTTCTTAATTGCTGCATCAGTGGGTGAAGCTAGATGCGGTCTCTTGCTGTATAGCCGCGCTAGTGCAAGATGCGCGCCAATCAAACCGTTCGGCTCACATTTTGATCTGCTGGGATACATGCACATCAACCTGCACCGGCTTGCGTCTGGCGCACCACTGGTCCGGTTTTATATGTGGTCTGCTCGCTGTACCTCTGCGAAAGGTAGGACTGCTGGTCACGCAAGAGCACTGTGAACTTGTAAAGTTCCTCTGCAACATCTACAACCCGCGCCCGGAAGCCGCCTTCGTACATAGTTCCATCCTGCGCGAATTGCTTGTTTGCCACTGGAATGCTGGCCTGGTTTGGGATCACCACAAGCCGCATCCAACGCCCAAGCGTGCGGAGGTTGTTGACTGTGTTAAAGGACTGCGACCCACCACAGACCTGCATGACTGCCAAGGTCTTCCCTTGAGTTGGGCGCACGCCGTTCGAGTTCAGCGGCATCCAGTCCACCTGATTCTTCAGCACGGCAGAATAGTTCCCATGGTACTCAGGGCTAACCCATACCATCCCTTCGCACCAGTGCAGCAGCTTCCACAACTCCTTCACCTTTGGCTCCAGATTCGGATCGAGATCCTCCGAATACATCGGGAGACCCTTAGCATCAAAGAATTTCACATCGGCCCCAAAGGCTGCCAAGACACGACCCGTCTCCACAGCGAGCCTGCGAGAGCACGAGCCCTCGCGGAGGCTCCCACTCATGATGAGAAACCTTGGAGGGTGTCTCGACATCGGCTGCGATGACATCACCCTCACCGTAGCATCGATCGACTCGTGATGATAGGGGTCGGGGTCCGACTGTCCCTGCAAAAACTCCAAGGTCCCAGTGGGGCAGCGATGTACGTGGACGGCTTGGCCAAGCGCCATGCACTCCTTGATAGCAGGACCTTCTCCCAAGTCTTCAACGTTGCCATCTGCATCTGCTCCTTGCCAGCCTGCCGCAGTACTGAAGGCGCGCACTGCAGCTGGGATTCCGCCTTCTGCGTGCACCACGCCAGATGATCCCCTGTGCTTGGCAAAAAGCATGGCTGCACCAGAAGACATGCCAGCTGCGGCCATGAAGCCCATGTTTGCCAAAGATCGAGCGGACTCGCGCGATGAGGTGACTGAGTGAGAAGACTGCTGCGCGACCCTGATGCGCATCAACTTTGCCAGTGCTGGCCCCGCCAAGCGTGCCATGCGAAATACCCTCATGTTCTGTTCAGCATACAAAATAAACCGCTCGTCGGAGCGCTCTGGAAAAAAAAGCTAAGGAATCAATGCTCATGTGTGTGGCAAATCTAACGTCTCATTGTGTTCTGGGTGAGCAACCTGCAACATGTCACAACCACGATCGGTCACCCGAACTTCCGTCTTTTACAGGATACTGTGCAAACTCTGGCTTTGGCCGTCAGGGTGTCGACGCAGAGGTGCACCTATCCTCAACATGCTACCAGGTGAGGTTACTCATTTGCGAAGGACACGCATTTGGGGCGGCTCGGTCGCTCTAGGCAATGCAACTGTTGGGCGTTGGAACGTATCGTTCTTCCAACGCTCCATCAATGACTGTCATGGTTTGGGTTTGGCCAAGTCGGGGCTGCACCCAAGGGGGCCCCCATACGGCCAAAGAGGACACCCATTGGGGTCCCCAATATTGCCCCAACGGAGCCCAAGGCAGCCCTGAGACGGCCCACATGAGCTCCATGAGAGCTCCTCAAGAAGTAGAGATGAAAGGCGTGACATGTAACAACCTTCTTCGTCTTGTTTGTTCCTGTCCTGTCTAGGCTCAACGCCCTTTTGAAACCAGGCGACTACGCAAACCCATCGCTGCATCAGCAGCATCTTCATTGTCCTCAGCCACCTGCTTATCCTAGTCGTCGTCGTCCTCGTGGTCGTCGTCGAGGCCGTCGTCGTCGTCGTCGTCATCGTCGTCATCACCACAACCACCACCGTCATCACCAAAATCACACTCGTCATCACCATCATCACCGTAATCACCATGACAATCATCGCCACCATTAGCAGCAGCATCGTCACCACAGTCATCAACGTCATCAGCATTATCATCGTCGTCACCACCATCATCACCATCACCATCACCACCATGACCAACACCATTAGCAGCATCCTCATCAACAACGTATTTGGCATCTTAATCAGATTCATATTCATCTTCATCACCGTCACCACCATCAACATCGCCATCACCATCATCGTCATCACTGCTTGTGCCGCTATGCTTGCTTTTCGTTCTAGAGGAGCGGAGGCTGGGGACTTCGTGGAGCAACGAGGGGATGGCCAGATTAGTGCTTGCGCACCTCGACGAGCTCTTCTCGTGCTGCCGGGCGAGGCTGCGCGACAGAGGGAGGGATTTGAGGGTACTCCAGATTTCGTAATAAAGGGAGGGGGGTCTCATTTCGGGGGGGGTCTCTTCCAGGCTATCTTGGAGGGCCTGGGGGGTCTGGGGACGATGTTTTGGAGGGTTCTCCCACGGGGGGAGGTCTGAAATGGCTTGTCTTGGAGGGTCCAGACCCCCTCCCTTTTATTACGAAATCTGGAGTAGGCACCATCACGCCGTACCGTGGCCAGCTCGAGATCTTCAAGGGGATGATCCGGGAGAGGCGGCTGGGAGGCCAGCCGGGGTCGCGCCGCTGGCTCGCCGAGGAAGGCCGCACGCAGGTGGCTCTGGTCGACGGGTGCCAGGGCCAGGAGCGCGACATCGCGCGCGTGGCAAAGGGAGAGGCGGTATGGGCTGATCCTCCCTCCACAGAAGCATGTCTCATCTCATGCTCCAGCCCTTGCAACCAAGCAACGTTGAAGTCTGCTAATGATGGACTGGCTGGGGTGGGAGGGCTGCTTGACGTATGCCGGGCCCGCCTCAATTCGAGGGGGGGCAACACCAACGCAATGGTGACCTGAACGACTCCACCAGTGTTGCGGCGTACCCCTTCAATCAACCTTTCCATACCTACCACCCTCCCCCCCCCATCCCACCATGCCTCCACTCAAGCTCCCTCCCACGCTCCCCCTCCTCTCGTTCCCCGCCGCTGCCCCTGCAACTCCCGCCCCCTCCGCGCTACCCCTTGTACCCCAGCCCTGCTCATCCTCCTCTTCTGCTGCACCGCCCCTCCCCCGATCTCTGTGCTCATGCATGGCATTGGGTGCGGGGGCGTGAAGGGATGGGGGTAAAGGCGGCGGGGCTGGGAGGGGCGGGGTGGGGGAGGGGCCTGCTCCCTCCCCTCCCACTTGCAGTCGCCGGTGTCCTTGGGGTGGCGAGGGTTGTCCTTCGGGTGGCGGTGGCGCATCGGCAGCGGCCTCGGGCGCGCCGGCCTGCGGGGCCCGATGCCAGGTCCGCCCCTCTTCCTCCTCCTCCTCCTCCTCCTCCTCCGCCTCCTCCTCCTCCTCCGCCTCCTCTTCCTCCTCCACGTCGCGGCCGCAGAACCCCCGACTCCCTCGTGGTGAAGCTTCGGGCGGCCCGACAGCTCCTTCTGGTGCCCCTCTTCAGGCTCGAGCAGAAAGGCCCCGCGCAAGCTGCTCCCAAGGCTGCCCCACCAGGGTTCCTCCCAGAGCCCAGGGCTCTCAGAGGGCCCAACGTGTCGACAGGAGCACGTCAAAGGGGACATGCTCATGAGAGGTGCGCCCCCGCCAGGCAGGCGCCCCTCGATTGCGGAAAGGACTGCTATGACGTGACCCGCAATTTCGGCAGAGCCAAACAACGTGCATACCTTCAAACGCATCCCCAGGCCGACCCTACGAATTAAGACACGGAGCAAGGAACGCATGCAAACTAAGAATCCCGCGAACTAGCTGGCAAGCGGCTGACAGGCTAGTACGTCGCCAGAGGCTACACCTCGGACATGACAACCATGACAAGTAATGCACCGACGGAAACAGCAAGCCTCATCTGTGGGTTGAAGCCGTTCATGCTGAATGCTCATACTGGCGCCGAGCGGTCAATGATGAAAGCATGGCATTCATGAGCTTCTCGCCCAGTTTGGGCATCCGCGCTACGAGGCCGAATTTCGGGCTGTGTCCTATATCGCTGGCATCCCTGGGTTGAGCGCACCCATGAAGGCGAACGTCTGGTCGTAGAGACCGCGCAATGTCTTATGCTACTCTTGGACCACGCGCGCATCTTACAGAACCTGCCTTGGATGTTCGGATCGGGGAACCAACCGTTCGGGAAGAAGGCGCTCCGCGCTGATTCCGACAGGACTGCCATGAGGGGCGGAACCGATCATTGACCACGCTGGGACCTCTTGAGGAGGGTGCCAGGGCGCTCCTCGACGACAGAAGAACAACACATCAAGAGGGACCGCTGTCTGGGCCTCATACGGTCGTCTGATCCTGAGGGGGGGCGGGGCTCGCTGGCTCGTAGAGCTCTGTGTGAGCGGAATGGGTCGCCCGATGCCTATGAGCACTCGTGCCTCATGCTGAATCGGATTCGGTCGCCGAGAGCCTGAGCACTTGATCCTCGTGGCTTCTCGTCCTAGTTTTGGTGGGGGGCATCTGGGACCTGATTCGGTCGCCCATGGCCCAGGGCCCCTCGTGCATCTGGGGCCACTCCTCGGCCCTCGGGTCCCCCTTTCTGCGGGGAGAGAGAGAGAGAGAGAGAGAGAGAGAGAGAGAGGGAGAGAGAGAGAGAGGCTTGCGGAATCGGATCCGGCGTGCAGAATCGGATCCAGCCGCAGGTGGCTTGTGGCCTCTCGTGTCTCGTGGCCTACTTGTGACATGATCTGGTCGGCCAGCAGTTCAGGGTCTCTCGCCCCGCGCGGTCCTTCGTGGCCCACCCGAGGGGCACGGGGGAGGGGGGTAGGGGGAGGGGGGGTTAGGGGGTAGGGGGGTAGGGGGTAGGGGAGGGGGGTAGGGGGTAGGGGGTAGGGGGTAGGGGGAGGGGAGTAGGGGTAGGGGGGTAGGAGGGGTAGGGGTAGGGGGTGGGGGTGGGTGGGGGTGGGGTATGGGGGTCAAGCTAGCCAGCTCGAGCGAGTCAAGCATGGCATGCCCATTCCCACCCGCCCTCCCACAACATAAGAAACAGTGATGGCACAACTGGGGGCTGCGCGGGCATTTCAGTGCGAGTGGAGGATACCCCAGGACACCGCATTGACGTCCGCGCGGGATGTGCGCCGCGCCCCATTCCCGCCACGCATTTCGCATCGTCGACGACAAGACTGGCCATGTTGAAAGGAACAACGGACACGTTCCGCCCTCCCACAACATAAGAAACAATGCTGGCGCAACTGGGTGCTGGCGCGTAGTGGTAGTAGTAGTAGTAGTAGTAGTAGTAGTAGTAGTAGTAGTAGTAGTAGTAGTAGTAGTAGTAGTAGTAGTAGTAGTAGTAGTAGTAGTAGTAGTAGTAGTAGTAGTAGTAGTAGTAGTAGTAGTAGTAGTAGTAGTAGTAGTAGTAGTAGTAGTAGTAGTAGTAGTAGTAGTAGTAAGTAGTAGTAGTAGTAGTAGTAGTAGTAGTAGTAGTAGTAGTAGTAGTAGTAGTAGTAGTAGTAGTAGTAGTAGTAGTAGTAGTAGTAGTAGTAGTAGTAGTAGTAGTAGTAGTAGTAGTAGTAGTAGTAGTAGTAGTAGTAGTAGAGTAGTAGTAGTCGTAGTAGTAGTAGTGGTAGTGGTAGTAGTAGTAGTAGTAGTAGTAGTCGTAGTAGTAGTAGTCGTCGTCGTCGTCGTCGTCGTCGTCGTCGTTCGTGTAGTAGTAGTAAGTAGTAGTAGTACGTTAGTAGTAGTAGTTAGATAGTAGTAGTAGTTCGTAGTAGTAGTTAGTAGTAGTAGTGTTAGTAGTAGTAGGAGTAGTAGTAGTCGTATAGTAGCAGCAGCAGCAGGGTTAGTAGTAGTGTAGTAAGTAGTGTAGTAGTAGTAGTAGCAGTTAGTAGTAGTAGTAGGCAGCAGCAGAGCAGAAGCAGCCGCAGTAGTAGTAGTAGTAGTGTAATAGCAGCAGCAGCAGCAGCAAGCAGCCGCGTAG